CTCCTTGCTCAGTTCTACCTTTCTTTGGGTGGGACAAACCTGGAACCTCCCATTTTTCCTGGCACCATCCTGTTACATTTCCACCATGTTATATTTTCACTTAAATTAAATTCAGTGGCTTGTCCACATGGTAATGTTAGCATAACATTTTCCCACATTTTGTTTTAAGGTAATAATATATACATAGGGTGTGGAAGTAAGTCTTTGGCTTCCTCTCTGCCATGGCAGGCCATGACTGTTCTGTGCATTTACTTCTCAGAGCTTTACTGTGTCTCCTTATTTCTAGTGGTCATTAATGAGTTAACTTGATTTTTAAATTCATGGACCAGAGCTTATTGAACAGTGTTGGGCACTATTCTGAGCTCTGGGAGTGGAAGAGTGAACAAAGTTGAAGCAAATCATTGCCTTCCCAGAGCTTCTCTTCTTGTCTCATGGTGGGTGATATGATAAAGGTACAAATTTAGAGCAGAAAAGGGAGCAATTCATATTTTTAGACATGACTGGAGGAAACTTTAAGGAAAAAGTGGAAATTTGTTTGGATTTTAAGTGATGGGTAGAAATTCAATGGACAGAATTGGGAAGAATAGTCACTGTAGTACAAATGTACGGAATTATTCTTGTTTTGTGTAGCCATTATTTAGTATTGTAGGTCTTGAAGTTCTATATTCAAGGTTACATTTGCTTGAACCTAGAAGAAATTCTTGCTTTTTGAAAAGAGCACTATGTGCAAAATAAAATTCTTTGACTTAGAAATTAATTTCTGCTAATCTAATTCTTTTTTCCAATTTGTTTAACTGAATTAGACATGAGGATTTTAATAGGTGAGATTTTACCTATTTGAACCTTTTTATTTTTAAAGATTTATTTTATTTATTTATGCATATAGGAACTGGGGTGTAGGCCAGAGATATTGAGGGGGGGATGGTAGTGAGAGGATTCACTAGAGACAGGGTGGGGAGCAGAACAGACAGACTGACTGAAATATGCTTTGAGGGGAACAGCTAGACAGGAGAGGTCTGTTGCACTCTGTTGGGTTACCATGTGGGTCAGCTCCCTAGCTGGGGTCAAACTCATACTGTGGTGGCTGCAGACAGATTCATAGTACTGAGATTTAACCCTTTGCACCACCAGGGAGACCCTAATTGCGTATTTTTTTTTTTTAAAGATTTATTTGTTCATACAGAACTGGGGGTACAGGCCAGAGGCTCAGGGGCGGTGAGAGGCTTCACCAGAGACAGAGTGGGGAGCAGAACAGGCAGATCGAGGAAGTACACTGCTGAGGGAAGCAGTGGGCGGGTCAGGAGAGGTCTGGCTCGCCATGTGGTCTCCTCCGGGGAAAGAGGCAGGCTGGAATCGAACTCATGCGGAAGTGGCTTCAGATTCTCATTGCTGTGCTTTAACCCGCTGCGCCACCAGGGAGGGCCTAATTGCGTATTTTTAATAACATTACAAGAGCTTTCTTCTTTTTAAATTTTTGGGACACTTTTATATGTGTATTGTAATGAACTATATAGTATGTTTCAATGTCACTATGCCCTTAATGCAGAGGATGATTTTACTATTGGTTGCATACTGGAATCACTTGGAGAGCTTTAAAATTGCCTGTGCCTGGGCCCACACTGTGTCTGGGATATAACTTAGGCACCAGGACTTTCAAAAGCTCCCTAGGTGTTTCTATTTTGCAGTTAAGTGTAAGAAACCATTGACTTTAACTATTTTGAATGTAACTGAAGCATGCCGTCTGCTTTGGGGAAATTGGTGACCATGCTTCCCCAGTGAATATGGGCCTTCTCTTTTCTCATGTCTCATGTTTAGAATAAAGTGAAGTAGTTAGAATTGGGATGATAAGCTCAAGTTGTCAAGTTTGTTAAAGTATCTTTATTGTTATTCACCAAAGCATAAGTGGAATTAGGTAAAACACACAAATACACACACACACACACACCCTCATTCTCTGAGAGATAGCAAGAAATAATTCTAAGGCCTTTTAATTCCTCTGTGAATGGGGGAAGTGATAAAAGAAAGTCCTTGTTTTGTATTCTAATCAAAGTCATTTGACTCATTTAAGTCAGAATTAACAAGTCTGTTTTCACAGCCTGTAACAATGACTGACTTATTGTTAGTATATATTGAGAACACTGTTCCCAAACTTCGTTGACTTTGTCACCTACTTTTAATGTAATGAGTACTCTGTTACAATAAAAAAGTCTTTGTTTACTCCAGTAACCAGATGTTGGACAAGGACCTGTAAACTCAAATTGTTGCCTTCCTGAGGTATCAGAGAGTTTCCAGAAAGAAATCAAATTGAATTTAAGACTATTCCTGTCTTTTATTCTGAAAAGTGATCTGGCCTGTTTCTACCCTAGAATAGAAGCTAAAATCAATTTAGGGATGTTTACTGTTGTTTCACTGTTTTGTTTGAAGTATTGTGAATTCTCAGACTGTACACTATGTTACAGTACAGTTGAGTTGCTAAATTTATTTTATATCTATATAACTTATTATATAATGACTGAAAAGAGTGAATAAACTATAATCACACAAAATTGGGTTTAAGCTATCACGTTCTATTTTTAAGCTTTGTTACCTTTATTTATTTCACTTTGTTTCCACATCTAGTGAAATGTTTTAAAATTCTGAATGCAATGCATGTCCGGAATTAGTCTGTAGTAAATAATAGTTCCCTAGTTTGATACTGAGTTGTTTTATAAAATTATTCCAGTAAAAATGATACTTGAATAAATTAGTTTCTAATCTTTCTTCAATAATGAATTTTACTGTTAATAACGGTTGGGGATGATGTATGTAAGAGTCACTTTTTAGGTTCTGAATTTCTGCATAGTTTTGAATTCTAATAAACCTGATAATCTCCTGATAAAGGTGTTGACATCAGACCCTTGTTTATCATGATAGTTTTTAACATGATGATTGTCATTATGTTTAGAGATGTTTTATTAGAAATCAAAGATTTTTACAGTATGAAGGAAGAAATTACAAAGTTGAAGGTGCAGATAGGGCAGTATATATATATGTATCTGTGTGTGTCTATATATATGTATGTATGTTATATATACATATGGTATACATATACACACACACATAGTTAGACTGTAAATACCTAGATTGATATGTAACCTATTAAAAATATAAGTGACGTGTATTATAGGCCATGTTAAGAATGTTGACATATATCCAAATAAAATTAGTTAATTTATTAAAAAATGGTATTTACATTCCTCTGTGTGCTGAAATAACCACTCCTTCCCATTTTCTGCCTTTCAAAATTGTTCTCATCAATGTGGTCTAGATCACGAAGCCACCACCATCTCATTGGTCTTCCCCACCCCCATTGCTCCCTTTAAGACGGAACTCTTTTCCCAACATTCTCTCAGCAGGTGACCTCCTCATTGATACTTACTTCACTGTTTCGTAGTAAAAGCAGTGCTGCAGCTAAGTTTATGATGTTGGGTGGAAGGTTGCATGGGGTCCTGGCTAAGGGCACTACTTAGTCATCAGAAAGATGTGCATTTTTATTTTTAACTAAGTTAATATTGGGGTATCGCCATCGGGTATTACCACCAGTGGGCGCATGTCAGCTATTACGTCACAGAGCATTGTGTCCCCCTCTCTTCCTATTCTTTCTCTTCCTCTACCCCTTCCTTCTTGTTTCAGCTCTATCAAAGGCTTAGTTTCTCAGCTTGTCTTTGCCTATTAATTTAGTTACTGTACATTCCACACATTAGTGACAGAATCCAGCATTTATCTTTCTCCTTCTAATTTATTTCGGCTAGTATAAGCCTTCCCAGCTCCATTCACACTGCTGCAAATGACACAGGCTTATCTTTTTTGATAACTGAGTCGTATTTCATTGTGTGTATTTGTTACAGGTCAGGGCGAGAGGGACACGGCTGAATCCTCAAACCTGCCTTCTCTGAATAGGTTCTGACATCTGCTGCATCAAGACAAGACATATAAAACTTTTAATGGAAAGGAACTTTAATACAATCAGTATGCAATACAGCAAACATAAAGAATGTAGTTTCTAGATCAAACACTCAAAGTTACACATTCCATCATGGGTAAAAGACTTCCCAAAAGGGATTGGCCCAAAGCAAGGCCTGAAAGCCAGACACAAGTCTAAAGCACCTTCTGGCCGGGACCCATAGAAAAAGATCAGAAATGGCCAGACAAGTCTGGGAGGAAAAGAACAAAATCAAAATCAAGATAAACGCTGCAAGAGTCAACCTTCCCATAGTTCTCTTACCCACATCTGTTTTAACCAGTACAAGACCAAGAAAAAGCAAGTGCAGTTTCTTCACAGGTCTTACTACTCCCTGTGCCTCCCTCAAGTCTCCTTCTGCCTCTCCACCTGCTTCCTTCCTCCTCAGACTCCTTCAGATTCCTCTCTTCTGTACTCAGCTCCACTCACCTTTTGCATGGGTAGGGAACCTGGAACCTCCCTTTTCCTGGGGACCACCCTGTTACATATATACCACATCTTCTTGACCCAACTATCTGGGGGTACTTAGGGGTTACTTGTTTCCACAGGTTAATTGTAGTAAACACTTTGTCACTTGCTTTGTAAGGACAGGGCCAATTTTTGTCCCTTTGAACTCCATTTACTTATCTATAACAAGGGAATAAAAGCTTTTACCTCATAATCTTGTTGAAAGATTAAGTGGTATAAGTGGCCTACAATAGTTAAGTGTTCACTAAATGCTAGAGAAAATTGTTGTTATTACTTGTGTGTGGCAAATTATTGATTGTGTGTAAATATGATATGGTCCTTAAATAAGACCTCTTCCTTTAGTTTCTGCACATTTTAGCACAGAGAACTATCACTTAGCGATTTGAATAAATTTAATAAATTATCAACTATTTGTTGATTGAATATATGGTAGTATTTCGTCTTATCTGACTTTTAAAAATATCAATAGCATATAGCAAAAACATTTCAGGGAAGTTGTTTCCTAAATGCCTTTATTTTAAAATCCCTCCAGGTAACTTTTCATCCCATAACTCCGGTGTTCTGAAATCTGATGATTCCACCAAGATAATGTGATAGGAACATTCAGTAATTTGGGACAATATCCTCCATACACTAATGCTGGCCTTCAGATTTCCTAAGAGCTTGCTACAGTAACACACACTGCTTGTTATCTGCACAGGCAATAATGCCATCTCTGCCACAAGAGAGAGGTAAGCAGATTGACTTAATCATGTTACAAAATATGGTTGTGTTACAGATTGTCATTGCTAGTTTTATTTTTTTAAGAATTAAACATTAACTAGGGATTCTTAAAGAACCAGGACTTAAAATTTTCCTTGTGGGCTTGGGGGAGGTGTTTGTTTTTTCTGATATGGAATTCTTATTTCAGTGATGTTTGGTTGATTTGCATGTCTTTTAAAGTTATTCAGGGCCCCTCTTCTCTGGATCTGGATTCAGAATTGTCTTATCAAAGCACTATGAAAAGGAAAGTAAGAAAGAAGAAAAAGAAGGGAACCATTACAGCAAATGTTGCCGGCACGAAGTTTGAGATTGGTAGGTCTTCTCAGAATCATGACATTTTCATAATTGTTAAATGAATTAGTTAAATGTTGAAAACAATTAGAGATGCAGAGAACTAATTCTTTTTTATGTAATGGATTTTTAAATGCCTTCTATAAAATTGTCTTTATTGGGGGCATTTAACATGTTAATAATCAAATGAAAGACTTTAGTTATTAATGGGATAGAATTAATTAAATATAATTTTGATTAATACTTGATTTAAAAATTGAGTATAAAATAATAATATTAAACCCTAGAGGTTGTAAGTCTAATATTTAAATATAATTGTACTTAGGAAAATTGTACCAGTGTATTTTCCCCTGGAGGCTAAAGTTAGGCTTCATCTATAATATTCATTATCCTGTATGTAATTTTTAAAACAGAATAAAATGTTAAATGTTTAAATGAAAATTGTAACATTTGAGATTTTTATTAAACAATGAGAATCTGGCATAAGGAATAGAATAAAACCACTTCTTTCTATGCTTTAAAAATTTGTTGATAATTAGTTGTTGCTCTTCTTTAAATGGAACTCTTTTTTTTATATAATATATTTCAGCAGTATCTTCAGTAGAGGATAGTTTAGAAAAATTAATTGCTTTAAATTAAACATCTTTGCCCAGCATAGCAAAACTCATCACAAATACCACAAGTATTCAAATACTTTTCCTCTGTTTTCAGGTTTTATTAATGATTTGAAGAAAATCTTGTCAACCCTCATGATTTTAGTTATTCTTACCTGTATTAATCTTTGAGCATCTCTTTTCTATTTACAGTAAATTATCAGCAATCAGTGGACTATTTCATTAGAATTGAAGTCTCCTAGTGCTCTATTCTAGCCAGTATTCCTCAGGGTAAATGACTAGAGTTAGTATGGAGGTTGACAAGCTAGGATAGATTCAGCATTTATTGGCAACATATTTTCTAGAGCAAAAGAACATGCTGAATGATGAGTGGTATTAATTTACCCTCTACTTTTAAGGTCCTAGAGGGGATAATAAAAAACCTTAATGTGAAGGAAAATGTTTGAGTGCGGTTCCCTCTCACTTTCTCAGGACATTTTCTGAGGACCGAAGTTGCACTAGCTGTCTGCATAGTGATTGCAGACCTTTATCCTGAGCCTATTCAGGTTGTGTAGCAGAGTTCATGGCTAGAAGGCTGGTGCCTTGCACCAGAAACTTTTGGGAGAATAAAGAGCTAAGTATAGCAGAAGAAAAGAGAAAAGGCCAGGAGAAACTGCCACTGAGATTTTCCTTTATTTAACCAGTTAAATGTAACAACTTGCTGCTTATAATTTAGTAACTGCTTCTTTGGTTGGTTGAGTCATAAAGTGGAAAGATAACTAGAGTGGAGTAAGGACACCTTTTTTTTTGAATTTCAGCTCCGGCTAGCTTTATTATTATTATTATTATAGTTTATTTTTACATCATTTTGTGCCTTTTTCCATCTCAGTTGTAATCCCTGTGGGCTTCCCATCACCAAATCACCTGTGTGCCATCACCATAGTCCAGTGCACTTCCCTGCCCCCACCATTTTTGATCCCATTCCCCACTCCACCTCCATAAAATGTTTCTGGTATATAGCTGATCATTATTATTATTATTATTTTCTCACCTGGTCTGTTATATTCCTGCTATGAGTGAAACCATTGGTATTTTTCCTTTTCTTTCTGACTTATTTCACTAAGCATGATCCCTTCCAGCTCCATCCATGTTGCTGCAAAAGGCATGCGTTTACTTATTTATTTAGGTTCCTGAGTAATATTCCATTGTGTATATATACTACATCTTTTAAAATTTTATTATTTTTTAAATTTTATAATAGTTTATTTTTACATCATTTTGTGCCTTTTTCCATCTCAGTTGTAATCCCTGTGGGCTTCCCATCACCAAATCACCTGTGTGCCATCACCATAGTCCAGTGCACTTCCCTGCCCCCACCATTTTTGATCCCATTCCCCACTCCACCTCCATAAAATGTTTCTGGTATATAGCTGATCATTATTATTATTATTATTTTCTCACCTGGTCTGTTATATTCCTGCTATGAGTGAAACCATCCAGCATTTTTCCTTTTCTTTCTGACTTATTTCACTAAGCATGATCCCTTCCAGCTCCATCCATGTTGCTGCAAAAGGCATGTGTTTCTCTTTTTTTGGTTGCTGAGTAATATTCCATTGTGTATATGTACCACATCTTTTTAATCCAGTCATCCACTTTTGGGCATTTGGGTTGATTCCATGTCTATCTGATTGTAAATAAAGCAGCAATAAACATGGGGGTGCAGGAGGACACCAGTTTTTTAGCCCCAGTGTTGCCTGTTCCCTCATATGACACTTTACTAGTTTTAATATCAATCTTTTAATAGCCCTTGGCCTATATTTTGAAATACATTTGTCATTTAATTTTCCAAATTACCCTCTGAACTAGGCTGTATTGCTCCCTCTCTTCCTTCCCTTCTGCCTTTCCTCACACTAATACTGAATTTGGACTGGCACATAGCCATATGAAAATAAATAAGGAAAAATAAAGATAGTAAAATATAGTGTTGGTTTTGTGACTGGTAAGAATACAGAATACATTTGATGAGATAGTCTCTGTGGTTAGAGATGGGCATTGGGTTGACTCAAATATTGAAATAATATGATCTGTAGAACATACAGCGCCTGGCTGATAAAATCATTCTGGTATTCAAAGGAAATAAAACCTTTTCTATTCCTGAATCTTGAGAGAAATTTCCTTATAGTTCATGGAGACATGTTCTGGTATAGTGAAGCATAACCTTACAGTATTCCTGCACTTAATACATTGTAGAATTTCACATTATTATTTGGTATGTTCCTTATGGCACAGTTGAAACTTAAGCTCTTCACTTAAGGTCTCACAGATGGCCAGAGAGGAACTTTGAGTAATTTGGTCCTAAGTTCAGGGCTCTTTACCGTATCATGCTGTCCAAATAAAATTTGGTTGGCAATTTTAAATGAGAAACAGTGAGGTGTCTTCTGTATCTGAAATTCAGAGAATTGTTATTTTTAGAACTGAGTAGCCTCTGAAAGCTCTATGATTTAAGTTTAAGTGGGAGTAAGAAAGACCACATAAGCATGCAAAGGGAATTGTGAGAACTGTGGTTGGTTTGATCATCTCTATTTTACAAATGGGAAGTTTGGTTTGAAAGGAATTCAATATGGAGACAACTATTTCATATCTTCTTATAAAGAGAACTCCTAAAAGACTGACAATTAAAAGCACAGGCTTTGGCTTTAGCTGTCAACACTCTATGGGAAACTGACATCATAAAGAGATTTCTTTTCTTTGCAATGGAAGGCTGATAACATTAAATATATTCCAATTGATTTTTAAAATTTTAGCTCAAACAGCAAAATGATTAGTTTAGCTGCAAAGAAAGTGACAGCTTAATAGCCAACATTGCATTTTTCTTTGGAGTTCAACTCTTCAAGCTCTGAATTTCATAATGAAAGAGAATTTTATGTATGTCTGACCCTACAAATTTGATTTTGTCAGTCTAAAGAAAGAATGGGTCTTTTCCACTATTTTGCACACCTGAACGTTCCCAGCCTCACAGACTCCTGCATACATTAAGTCCCACTTTTTAGTAACTTGCTGAACTCCCTCCCACCAGGAGTGCCATTATTCTCATCAGGATCTTTTGCGTTATTTCTGAGAAGGTTGGGGCAACGTCTTGTGTACTAAGGAGCAGGTGCTTCTCAGTTGCTGTTTTGGCCTCATCATTGCTTCTACTTGCACCAGTGAAAAGTCTCTAGGCTGTGTCATTGCCTTTGCGCTGCCTCTCTGCTCTAGATGGCACATGCAGGATCCCTCAGGGTGACAGAACTGCATGGTGGTCGGTGGCCCGTGAGAGAAGAAAAGCTCTTTCCCCAGCTCTGTATGTATGTTGTTGGTCTTTAGATCAACCCTGTTTTAACAGACCTCTCATGGAAAATACCATGTTCAGCTCTCTGATCCTTTTCCTGACCTCATGTACCTCAGTTCACTCTCCTATTCCTGTGATCTAGGTTAGTCCTTCAATCTCCTCAGCCAACAATCAATCAAGAATTTTCATACTTAATGACCAATAAGTGCTGTTGGATCATCATTTTATAGTAGAGGGTAAATTTTAACAATTGGTTCCTTTTTTTTTTTTTTAAGATTTATTTATTTATTCATACACAACTGGGGTACAGGCCAGAGATGAGGAGGGTGAGAGGATCCACCAGGGACAGAGTGGGGAGCAGAACAGGCAGATCGACGAAGTATACTGCTGAGGGGAACAGCAGGCGGGTCAGGAGAGGTCTGCCGTGCCATGTGGATCTCCTCCGGTGCAGGCGGGGATCGAACTCATGTCGAAGTGGCTTAAGCTTCTTAGTGCAGTGCTCTAAGCCGCTGTGCCACCAGAGAGGGCCCAATTGGTTCCTTTAAAAAAAAAAATTTCCTCTCATGTGTAGGGTACTATTAAAAGGGAAACTTCAAAAAAAAAAAAATAATAAAACATTGAAACTCTGCTATATAGATAAACCACTCTAAGATTCAGATCCTGTTGGAACCTAAAATGTATCCTTTTATTTTGCTCACCTTTGAACTTGAAACTTCATCAGAAAAGATACTCAGTATGATTAATTGTGACATCCAAATCCAAGAGGAATATAAAGCTAGTTTGTAAAAAAAAAACTTTCCTCTGAGCATAATATTTTTTCAATACGACAAGAAGGTTGGGAGCCAGTATCCAATCTCTGCTTGTTTCACTATTTCGTTTCCTAAATCAAAATAGCTGACTTGGTTTTAACTACTAAAAATATTTTGAACTGGACAGTAAGCAAGTACAGGGTAGGTCTGATGATCAAGGACTATTTTTATCTTTCTTCTTTCGTACCTAACTCAAGGTCATGAAAAGCCAAAAAGTACATTTTTCCAAGTAGAGGTGTTGTCTCAGCTGTGTGAATCTTTTCAGTGTGTCATGCATAATTACTAAATTCTTTAGAGTGTTGTGTACCTGTTAAATCTCAGAGAATCAAAACTAAGGATTTGTGCGTAACCTGAAAGTTGTTCTCAGTTACTATTATTGAGTCTCATTTAGCCCTAGATAATTTTTTTCCCCTGTTGGCAATTAGTCAGTCCCCCGACTCATATTTTAGGATTTAGGAGGATATCTTTTAAACTAGTTTTGTTGCAGATACTGTCCATGGCTTTTGGTTTTGTTAACTTATTGTCTCTGATTCTTCAGAGTTTTGGGGGAATTAGTAAAAGCCTAAGACATCTGCCACCTTCCAATAATCACACTGTTTGTTAAGTTTTAATTGCATTATTATAATCTTCATTTTTAAGATACTAAAATAGTTTTTAGTCAACTTTTTATGTTATTTTCATCTAATAAATTGCACCTATTTTAGAGTTGGTGAGTTCAGACAAATGAACACACCTACCTATGTAACCACCGATACCATCAACAGAATATTTCTGTCATCCCAGAAAGTTCCCTTGTGCCCTTCCTAGTCAACTCTCCCCTCGAGTGGCTCTATGTAATCATTCATCTACTGTTATAGACTTGCCTTTTCTAGAATACCAATTTATAAAAGGGTTCAAACAGAGGTACTTTTCTATGTGTCTGAATTCTTTTACTTAATGCTTTTTTTTTTTTTAAAGATTTACTTATTTATTCATACAGAACTGGGGTACAGGCCACAGGCTCAGGGGTGGTGAGAGGCTTCACCAGAGACAGAGTGGGGAGCAGAACAGGCAGATCAACGAAGTACACTGCTGAGGGGAGCAGCCGGCGGGCCAGGAGAGGTCTGCCATGGAGGGGATTGAACCCATGCGGAAGTGGCTTAAGCTTCTTAGTGCTGTGCTTTAACCCGCTGCGCCACCAGGGAGGGCCATACTTAATGCTTTTGCTGTTCACTCATGTTGCCTATATCAATAGTTTGTTCATTTTAAAAAAAGATTTGTTTATTTATGCTTACAGAACTGGGGTACAGGCCAGAGGTGCAGGGGCGGGGAGAAGATTCACCAGAGATCAAGTGGGGAGCAGAATAGGCAGATTGATGAAGTACACCGCTGAGGGGGGCAGCATATGAGACAGGAGAGATCTACTGTGTCCTGTGGCTCACCTCCCTGGCCAAGGATTGAACTTGTGCTGCAGCGGCTGAGATAGCTTCATAGTGCTGTGCTCTAGCCCCTTGTGCCACCACAGAGGGCCCCCAAGAGTTTAAAATTATCTTTATATTTTCATTTTTGAGAAAAGAAACATGAATTTTTAAAATTATTATCTTCTATTCTTAGTCTGTTTATTGCTTAGAATCTGTGTCAGTCTTCAAAACATTTTTTCGGTAGCACTCTGGTTTCTTATTCTAAATTGTGTTGATTGTTTTTGAGGCCTACTTCATTGTAGTCATCCTGTAGTTTTGTGTTATGAGTTCATGAGTTAAATTTCTAATTTCTTTTCCTTTCTTGAATTTCCCTTAGTGTTGTTGGAGAACAACTTCAAGTAAAACACTAAGATTGGGTATATAGGAGGTATTCTTTTCAGTGCTTAACACTTCTGGAAATACCCTTTCATGCTCACACTTGGTGCTTTGGTTAGTTTAAAAATTTTTTTTAATTAATTTTCCCTCAAGATTTTAAATTGTTATTCTAACATCCAGTGTTGTTGAGAAATCTGATGTTTTGGGGTTCCTTTAAACAGGATATTTAAGAAAACTTATATACACTGACATAAACAGTTTTGTTCACTTTTTTTCACTCTCCTTTGAAATAATATTGGCCCCACGTGGACTAATTCTTGTCAATAAACTATGAGGGAAGATACTATGCATCAGTTTCAGTATGAGCTATTCAGGAGGCTCTGACCACCTTAAGATGCTTCACAACATGGAGGGAATCTGGACGCCTGAGTTCCACAAGGCGGGTCCCTTTCAGGTTTTACATGATTGAAAAACAAACCTTTGTTGGGTTTAAGCCACTGAAACTTATGGGTTTATTTATTAACTGATATAAGTCTTTATATGTCTTAATTGATATGTCTTTATAATTAACTCATTTAATCCTGCTTATAATCTTATAAACACCATAATTCCCATTGAAAGGGAAAAAGACAGAAAGATGTGTGGTGGCCTTTTTCAGGATAAGTTGCAGACCCAAGCTTGGAATACAGGCATCCATTGTCTTTAACCTCAGGATGCTAGACTGGTTCTCACAGGAAGAGTCACACTAAAGGGTAAAATGCAAGGAATTATCTCTGTGTATCTTATACTACAGAGATTTTGGAATATTAAAACAGGGGAGAGTAGGAAAGTAAGGGGTTGGGGCAGCCTTAGACAGGAACTCCAAGTATTAGTCATTTTTCCCAACTCTATAGGAGAAAGTGGTCATTCCCAGTGTGACAAAACAAAAGGAACTTGGACTTGGACCTATGGAGTTCAGTTTTAAATGCCAAATTTTCAAATTAATCTTCTTTGAAAACTTCCAGCTCAGTCTAGTTGGAAGATACTCACACTCAGAAGTCAGGAAGCCTGAATTTTGCTTCCAGGTCAACTGGCAAAAGGATGTTTGACTTAAATAATTGATTCTGGTTTCTTAGGACCACAGCTACTTACTGCATCTGATATTTAGGAGTAATGATTTCATCTTGTCAGGTTGTGGAGATAGTTCAGGTTAAACAGTCCATGTAATGATGCTTTTGGGAGATGTAAAATGCTTTGCAAATGTAAATTAGTACTTTTATTAAACTATCACAACTAAAGAGCTAGGAGGACCTTCCAAGATCATAATCTCTATGACAGGAAAACTGGGACCTCAGTGACTAACCCAGGAGTACTAGGCGTTACTGGAGCTAGAGATGTTACCTAATTTATTGTTGCTGAAGTGGATAATTATAACAGCAACAACAAAATTTAAGTGAAAGAAATAGGAACGACGATTGCAGGTCTTTAGCTACATAGCTTCACTTTCCTCATGACTCTGACATCAAAGTTTCCATTTTCTTTCCTTATGTGTCTTGGATTGCAGGTCTGGGGCCTAAGCAACAGAGAGAGTAGGCAATACATGGTAGTGGCTGAGGAGACTTTATTTTTTTTATTTTAAGATTTATTTATTTATGCATACAGAATTGGGGAACAAGCCAGAGGTGCAGGAGCAGTGAGAAGATTCACCAGAGAAAGAGAGGGGAGCAGAACAGGCAGATCGATGAAGTACACTGCTGAGGGGAGCAGCAGGCGGGTCAGGAGAGGTCTGCCACGCCACATTACCACCTCTGGGCCGGGGATTGAATTCCCACTGAAGCTGCTATGGCTAGCTTGCAGTGCTGTGTCCTAACCCATGGTGCCACCAGGGAGGGCCTGGCTGAGAGACTTTTAACCAGACATATCTAAGTTCAGATCTGATCCCGTGGCTGCTTATGGATCTCTTTTTCTCACTTTGTTAGTGCTACCAGAAGGATTATGTTTAGTTATATGAAATTGCCATTGCTTGAGATCCAAAATGGCTAGGTATCATTTCTTGTGCTCTCCTCATTCTTGAACCTGACTCTGACCCTTAGATCTCCTTCAGACATCTCATTTACCTTTTCTCTTAGGGTGAGCAAAAATACAGTTTTTGTTTCTTTTGGGTCACCTGCATTTTCTTTCTGGAGGCATTTACAATTTTCTCTATTTCTGACAGTGTATAATCATATAGTGTTTAACTAGATAGATCATTGTTGTAACAGAAAAATAAGGGTATGCTATAACTGATGAATGTTTTGCACATGAAATGGTGTGAGATAAAATTTACATATCTTAAAAATGTTTGCACGATGAATATATTTCAGAAGTATTTTAATTTCAGTGTAACTTAATCATTTATTTGCAGTTCGTTTAGTAATAGATGAAATGGGATTCATGAAAGCTCCAGATGAGGATGAAACAAGTAATCTTATATGGTGTGATTCTGCAGTTCAGCAGGAGAAGATCTCAGAGCTGCAAAATTACCAGGTGGGAAATTAACTGTGACCAATTATTGGTCATTAGGAAAATTATATAAATTGCATTAATTTTTCTTTAATAAGGTTCTAAATATGTTGACACATTAAATTTCAGTACTACTTTGTTTTGTTGCTGTATGTTGTTTTGACTCTGTGTGAAGCCAGGATCCTTTCAAATTTGGTTTCACTTTTAGGAAGGATGTAAGGAAACTTTTAACTTCTTTACATCTTTATGGATGAACTTTTGCACTGTGCTTAAAGGCAAATGATAGGTATTTGCTTAGAGAGATCAGGTCATGGATATATCTTGTGAAGTCAGCTCCGTGTAATCTGAAATTTGAAATATTTTCCCTTAATTATTGCCACTTTATTAAAACAAAACTCAAAGGACAAGTGTAACTATTTTGGTAAAAATTAATATATTAATTAAATTAATGAGAACTTTAATATTTATCTTTTTATTTTCCAGAGAATCAACCATTTTCCAGGAATGGGGGAGATCTGTAGGAAGGATTTCTTAGCAAGAAATATGACCAAGTAATCTTCATTTTCTTATAATAGAGAAGACCTATTTGAATATTTTGAATATTATAGTGGATACATTGATTTAAAATGTTATTTTAATGAAAAAATGTAGAATTTTACAGCTACATGGTTTTTTAAGTGTTCTCTGCTTCTATTCTTCCCACTTTGCAAAGATGATAACTGAAGGTCAGAGAAATGAATTATCTGCACAAAGTGAAATAAATTATTAATAGTAGGGCTAGAGCATAATCCTCCAGAATTCAGGAGAATTCTCTACTCTAGTGATCACTGCACCTTGCTATCTCGCTAGCAACATATTTTTTTCTTTCAATGTCAGAAGTTACCTGTACATGACATTCAATACATATGTCTTTATTTTCAGTTACCTTCAAGAAACTAATTTTTGCATTATATGCTGCATATGTTTGTGTTCTCACTTACTGAGTATTGTGCCAGCTATTGTAGTTGATATGTGTGTGCATAGGCAGATACATATATATATATATTTCATCTTAGGGTGTACATACATATATATTTATGTAAATTCAGAGTAAAATCCTTTTTATGGGAAAAAATGTTAACAGCTGGTCAAGTATCAAATCACATGAATTTTATGCAGTTTTTATTTATGTTGACTAGAATTTTTTAGTTTAAGAAAATTGAGTGATAAATTGAGAAAGATTTCTGAGAACATCCAAGGGAAAGGTTATTAAACTTGTCTGTATAATTTAAAAAAACTTGTTGCATCCGTGTGAAAGTTTATTAGATACCCATTCATTCAACACTTTTTTTTTTTTTTTTTTTGCAAGTCTCCTGTATATCCTAGAGACTGCTAACTTTGAACATGACAAATAAGACCTCGCCCAGCCTAGAACTTACATTTTACTAAGCACAAAACAATTTGATGGTGTCACTTTGGAGGTAGTATGTTGTGGTAACAGATAGAGTGGGGAAGACAGTATTGGTAGCACAGGAACCATTTCGAGAGAGGTTAAAATACAAGCTGGGTATTACAAAGTTTATAGGTGTTTTGCTCTTTGAGAAGACTTTGTAGGCAAGACAAATGTGGGAGAAATATATAGAGACTAACCAACTGATGTTTGGGGCTCTTTAAACAGTTTATATAGGATATATTGAAAGACCTAATCTGAGATGACTTTGGAGAGAAATAGGATAGGCATGTAGGTTATGTTATTCTATTTTATTTAATAATTTAATGATTATTACTTAATTTCTTTTTTCCCCCCCCAAGATTTATTTATTTATGCGTACAGTGCATGGGGTACAGGCCAGAGGTGCAGGGGCGGTGAGAGGATTCACCAGAGACAGAGTGGGGAGCAGAGCAGGCAGATTGATGAAGTACATTGCTGAGGGGAGATAGGAGAGGTCTGCGGCCCCATGTGGTCACCTCCCTGGCATGGAACTCACACTGAAGTGGCTGTGGCAGCAGCCAGCATCGCAGTGAAGTGCTTTAACCTGCTGCACCACAAGGAGGGCTTATTCCTTAATTTCTTTACTCAATAAATCTTTCTGTTTATAATGAGAAAAATGGGGAGATAGTTAATGGATTTAAACAGAGAAATAAATGTTTTAGATAATCTTGGTGGCACTGAAGGTAATGGATTCAATGAAAGTAAGATTAGAAGGACAAAATCCTGGAGGAGATAATTCTCAATATCTTGGTGAGGAATAACAAGGATCTAATAAAGCAAAAAAGGAATAACAGGCATCTAATAAAGCGAAAAAAAAGAGATAGTGGAACCAGAAAAACAACATAAATCTGAATGATATGAAGAGCATAGAATTTGAAATTGTTGCGATAGAATTAAAGGGTGGGAAAAGAATTCTTCAAGATGATTCCTAGATTTAGGGGGTTTAAGATACTGTGTATGTTGTATGATTCATCATCAAAGGGATCCTTGGGAGAAGAATGGGCTTCAGAGGAAATGGAATTTTCTTGTTACTCTGAATTTGACAGAGTTGGTAGTTATTCCCTTCTCATAGTGGAAACTAGTTTTTTTACAGTGTTCTTTTGAATCTGGGCTTGAACTTTGATAACTCTGTTGAAACATCAGTTATGGGACAAAATGACTTATTCCACATCTTAGTGTCAGAATGTAGCGTAGGTCCTATCTCTTTGCATACTAATACTATGAGTCATTTTAGTTTTTCCTAATCTCATTTGGGGACAATATCTGCTCATCTTTGAAAGATTTGTGTATATTTATAAGATTTTTTTTGGAAAGAGATTTTCTTTGATAGGTAACATTTGAAAATACGTTTTCTATTATATTTTTATTGGTAATCAGTATATATAAAATGGTTAACATTTGTGCTTAATCAAAGTAAACATCTTTACCTAATATCTTCAAGTCATATATCAGATAGACATTCTGATTTGTGGCAAATATGATTATACAAGGACATACTTTGTAGCCATGAAACTGCGTGCATCGACACACATATTTCATATAAGCAAAACTTCCATTGACTCAGAGGCATCACAAGATTTTCTCAGAAAGAGTTACATTCCAAGAGACTCTAAAGTAAAAGGTCATCAAAACCTTGTCCCCGTTGGTGATTCAGATGACTCAAAATCATCTTTAAAGCAGCAGCATGAATATCAACTGCCTGTGAACCATTCACTGCTGCCCATCATCTGATCATTGCGGCTGAGTTAATTTGTTACTTTACCTTATATGCTTTTACTGTACATATCATGTTGTATTTAATTATTAGCCTATTGTAAATTCCTTAAATCAGACGCCATATTAATTTATCTTAATCGCTCCAGTTCCTAGTACATTTGAGTACACAAATAAATGCTTGGTTTACTAATATATAAAGTAATACCTAAGTCAGCGATTGTCATTTTTTTTTAAAGTGATGTATCTGCAGTATTTAACTTAGAGCTTAGTACATAGTAGATACTTAAAAAGAGTTTTATTGAATGAATCAGTCTTTGAAAAAAGTGGGAGGAATTTAAATACTTGTAGCAAATGTCAATAGCACACAGAGAAAATTTATGTAAGTTTGAAGAGGAATTACTTTTCATGTTATCCCTGCTTTATAGAATGATCAAGTCCCGGCCTCTGGATTATACCTTTGTCCCCCGAACCTGGATCTTCCCTGCTGAATATACACAATTCCAGAATTATGTGAAAGAACTGAAGAAAAAACGAAAGCAGAAAACTTTTATAGTAAAACCAGCTAATGGTGCAATGGGTCATGGGTAGGTATTTTCCACCCAGGGTATATATATGTATTTTTAATTTGAGAAAAGAATAAACATGACTGTTTTCTCATGGATGAATACTAATATAAAAAAATGATGGTTTTTATTTCTTTTTTGAACTGATTATTTGAAACTAACCTCTCAAACTGGCATCAATAACTAAATTAATAATCTAATGAACATGTGAGACTATTAGGAGACAGCAAAATAGAAAGCTTTTCTGATTTTTTTCTTAAAGAGTTTGAACTTGGTAATTTTAAAGTAAGCTTAGAGAATAAAATCAATTATTAGTAGAGCTGAATTGCCTTGGAAAAAGAATTGTAATGGGAGATACTCCTTTCATGGCTAGAAATCTTAAAGCAAAATCACTCCTTTGCTTTAAAAAATGTATTTTTTCTTCATGTAGTCATGGTAATTGGATTGAAAATGAGTAGAACACATTTTAAACTAAATTGAGGAGAACTAGACATGTTAAGTAAGAATAATTACGCAAATTAATTCTGTTTTCTATTACTTATGTTAGTTTTCTGCATAGTTTTTCAAGGAAAATAGAGCTGAGACAGCTTTTAATAAAAATATGAGTCATTTTAATATTTTGTTTTAAAATACCATATGGATAAAGATATTTCGAAATGTAGTTACCAGCTGAGTTTTTCAGATTTCATTTTAACTTGTAATTATATTTTAATAAAACACTTTTAATGGTGATTTAGTAATTTAAATTACATGTAGTAGTACTGGGAATTTTGTATTAATTAAGGTTCATTCATTAGATGTTAGTTATCAAAGGAAATGTGTTTTGGGGGTATATTGGTTTTTAATATTAAAAATTAGTGTAAAGTTACTTAGATTTGTACATTTATATTTAACGTTAAACATACAGATCTGATAGACAATAGTATAAAAAATAGTTGAAAAAGGATTGTGCGCCACAGTGCCACCAGGGTTTAGCCCATGAAATGCAGTAGTAGGTAGCTAAAGACTGCCCACTTATGGAGTGTATCTGTTTCCAATCCTCCTCCTTTGTGTAGTTGATACTTGGCATTTGTGAAAGACAAATTCCATTTGTCTTATAATAAGATGCTAATATGGCTATTCCATGGCTATACAAGTTGTTTTGGTTCCTGTTTGCGTGGAATATGTCATCCATCTAAGTCTATTTAAGTCTTTGAATATAAAATGAATCTCTTAGAAACAGGGTATAGTTGGACCCTTTTTTTTTTTTAAATATATTTGCCAAATCCTGTTTTTTTAACTAGAGGGTTAACCCATTTGTACTTAATGCCATTTTGCTTTTCATTTTTTAGGTCTTATGTAATTTTTTTCTTTTGGTTTTATGTAATTTGAATTCCTCAATTCCTCCATTTTCTGTCCTTTTGCATGTTGAATCATTTTTCTAGTGTACTTAATTTCTTTTTTTTGTTTATTTTTGTGTTTTTTAAAAATGGTTACTATAGGAATACAATTAACATTTAATTTATAGTAGTCTAGTTTGCATTATTATCATCTTAATTCAATAACAAAAACCTGCTCTTATAAACTCTTCCTCATTGCATGCTCTTGTTATGCACATTTCATCTATATACATGATGTGAACATCAACATGGATTTATAACTATTGTTTTATAAAATTGTATTTTAAATAATACAGGAAAAATGAGGAATATTAACCTAAGTGACACTAATAGTGATATATATTTATGAAGTCACCTTTATTGTTATTTACTTGAAAAGGCCTAGTGCCCTCTTCAGTTTGAAGAATTCTTCTTATATTTTCTTCTAGATCAGGTATATTTACATGAAACTTAATTTTTGTTTACCTCTGAATTTCTTTAATTTTGAGTAGTTTTTGTCAGGTATAGAATTCAGAACAACAGGTTGATTTGTGTGTATGTGTGTGTTTTTGATCAGCATTTTGAATATATCCTCTAATCCTCTATTGTTTTGATAAGAAACCAGATGTTTATCTATTGAGGACCCCTTGGGCTTGATGAGTAGTTTCAGTATTGCTATTATCAGAATTCTCTCTTTGTTTTGGCTTTTAATAGTTTGACTACAATGTTTCTCAATGTGGATCTCTTTGAATTTGCTCTACTTGCAGTTCATAACATTTGGGATGTTTTTGCACCAAACTGGAAAATTTCCAGCCATTGATTCTTGAAACATTTGTTCTATTACTTTTTTGTCTCTGCTTTCCTTTTGGGACTCCCACTCTATATATACTGGTATTCTTGAGGGTACTCGACATAACTCTTAACCTCTGTTTACTTTTCTTTCTTTCTCAGCTTAATGAATTTCATTTGACCTATCTTCTTACTTTCTGATTCTTTTTCAACCTGTCTAAATCTTCCAATTAGGCATGGTTTCCAAACCATGAACAAATTTAAAATAGTTGATTGAAAGGTCCATTCCTTAGACTCAATGTCTGGGTTTCCTCAAGGTTGGTTTCTATTGATAATTTTCTATATATAAGTTATACTTTTTTTTTTTTAACATAACCTACAAGTTTTGTTGAAAAAACTGGACATTATAATGTTTTGTCTCCTTTCTATAGTTTTTGTTGCTGCTTATTGTTGTGATTGTTGACCTTTCTGAAATCATATGGTAAATTTTATATTGTTGGTTGTGTGTGGCCACAGCATTTCTTGTTCTGTTACCTCAATAATCAACTGAGAATTGGACAGAAATTTTCATAAACTATTGGAATATTAACAAAATTTTCTGTTCCTCACAGGAGATTTTGTGTGTGCTTCAGCAGTCACAACATCTGTGTGTATGTGTGTGTGCGCACGCGCGCGCGCGCGTGTGCGCGCTTCAGTAGTCAGGCAGGTGGGCAGGTTACAGTCCTGCCTTAGCCTTCATTTCTTGCATCTGTAGAACCTCCTGGTTATGCAGAAGTAAGAATTTAGGACCTTCTCAGATTTTCCTTAACATGGGCTTAGCCCTGGGCATGAGTTTAGTCTTCTAGACTCTCAGAAATTTATCAGAGATTTTTAAAACTCTCATTCCTCAAAGATTCTTATTCCTTACTTTTGCTTTCCAGTTCTATTAGTTATTATATTGTTTTCCTTGTATTTTTTTGCTCTAGGCAGCAGTGACTAACCATTTACATTTAAGTATCTTAAAAAATTGCCTCCTAAGTAACTACATTAGCACTGGGGTAGTTTCTATTTCTGCAAGATAAAAGTTAAGTCCTTTATCTGCTGTTGTTCAAGGCCATTGCTGAGCTGGGGGCGGGGTGGGGGTGGAACAGAGTATATTAACATACCACAAAGCTCTTTTATACTAATTCAGCTGAGGATTTTTGTTTATTGGTTTGCTTTGACTTTCTGATTAAGTATTCCCTGGTGGTTGCTGTGAGCTTTTGGTTGGTTCCCAAGGTCCCAAAAAGTTGATTCTGTCAATTTCATTTTGCTAATCATTGCTTTTATGGAGGAACACACTTTTCGAGTTCCTTACTCCTTCTTTTTTCCTCTTGAGTTTTATCTGTAACTATAAATCTTGCTTCCATATCAAATTATTCTTTAATTCTTTCCTTTAAACTTAGGATTTCTTTGATAAGAAATGGTGACAAACTTCCATCTCAGGATCATTTGATTGTTCAAGAATATATTGAAAAGCCTTTCCTAATGGAAGGTTACAAATTTGATTTACGAATTTATATATTGGTAACATCGTGTGATCCACTAAAAATATTTCTCTACCATGATGGACTTGTGCGAATGGGAACTGAGAAGTATATTCCACCTAATGAGTCCAATTTGGTAAGTGACACCAGACAGCATCTATGATTTTGTTCCTTTGTTCAAAACTACTTTTTAAAGCACCCATTATTTATATAAAGATTACCTCAGAGTCCCTCCTTTCAGGTTTTTTTAAAGAATTGTCTAAACAAGATTATATCTGATTTATAGACAACTTTGTGAAAATGAGAGAAAAATTGGTGTTTGCTTTGGGCATGATAAGTCAGACACCACCTCTGAAGCTGTAAGCACAAGACTGGGTTTCAGAGCACACAAGGTGTACATGCAGTGGCCCTCTAGAAGTGGATGTTAGAGTAGATTTGTATGCAGTGGTTCTGTATAGAAATGACTTATGCAGAAATATGTCATAGATGACATGCCACTGAAAAGCACAGGTCAAGCGGTGATGAATTGTGTGAGTTGTGTTTAGGTTTTTATGCAGGAGTCAGTATTTGAGTACCATCTTACTATTTCTATAATAGGCAAAGTTTAAACATGTAAGATGTGGGAGAAAGTATATGAAGCAAGAAAAGTAAAAAATTAGAGGAAATAGCGTTATTAATTTTGGGGGGGGGCAAAAGAGAAGTAAGATTATAAAGATGTGAAGTAGATATATAATTGACAGTTCCAAGGTGCATTTTAAGTCTTTCACATGGGGCTTTTTGTAGATATTTTTCATTAAGTTTCCCTTTGCATAGTTATGACATATTGCATCACATAATCAAGTGATTATGAAAGCCAAAACTAATTTTTAGTTTATGAAAGTGAAACTGTATTGTGAAAGTTGTAAAGTATAATTTATAGTTAATGAAAGACAAACTGTACTTGAAATTTTGGTTAATCTTTAACCCTATTTTTGGATCTATTACTTAATGATAGTAAAAATTACTTCCATTTTTGTCAAAAGCCTGCCTGTATGCACATAGTTAACTTCATTAAAATTATCATAGCTTCAGAATTAAATAATGACTAATCATATATTTGCTATCTTCAATAACTGAAAAATATTGTAAACCTGGCAAAGGAAGAGTAAGGGAACTGTCAAAAGTTTTTGCAGGAAAGGAAGATAAAAGAATCATCCTGTGTGGATCTATTCAATCACCAAGTAATGTTTGAACTCTACTGCGTTCTAGGCATTGTGCTGGTTTTGGAAAAACAATGACCCAAGACAGATACAGTACTTGACCTGACAGAAGCAACAGTCTAGTGGGGAGGCAGAAAATAAAATAAGCAGTTATAATACTCTATGGTAAGTGTGATGGAAACTGAGGATGCTATGGCAGTGCATAGCAGGGCAATCTATCCCACTTGGAAATAAAGGTTAGAGAGGGAGTTTGTAAGTGGAAACTTGAATAATGAGGAGTTAGCCAGGTTGGGGGTGGTGTGGATTGGGGTAGGGAGTTCCAACCAGAAGAGCTATGATGGAACATGCTCTGTGTGGAACTAGCAGACAAGATGAAAGCAGATGAGAAATGGGTGGGTATTGAAAGTTGAGAATGGAGAAATCTAGAAGCCGTATCTTCCAGGGTTTTGTAAATTATGTCTAGGATTTTGGAATTTAACCTAAAAAGAAGGGAAACATTGAATAGTTTTAAATACAGGAAAGAAGAAATGAGATTTGTGTATTAAATAGGTCACCTTTTTCTGTGGTGTGGGTAATGTGAGATGGGAGTGACTTGAGTAAGGGAGGCCAGTAGCTGTGCCATAGTCTGCTCACATGTGAGAGGAAGGGTAACTTAATCTGATGTAATGGCATTAGAGCCAGACTAAGCATAAGAAGATATATTTAAGGTAATCATGGATAACAGTGATACACAAACCAATAAGCTGGGTTTGTAGAATGAGAGCTAGGGAGGGAGAATAAACAAAACTCAGCATGTTGGGCACAGGCAGTTGAATGGATGGGGTGTTATTCACTATGATAGGGAATGCAGGAGCATTTGCAGCTTTGCAGACAGCTGATGTGTGCGGTTTGACATATCTGTGCGGCTTCCATATCTAATATCATTGCCATTTGGACATACAGTGTAGGTTGAATTCAGAACTCTGAGCTATAGGCATAACTTGGCATTTGTCAGCTCATAGGTTATAATTAAAAATAATTGGAGTGGGTAAGAAGCTTATTTATGTGAAAAAGTGATTTGACCTAGTATCTTAAGTTATGTGTATGTGACTTACTTCCGTACATTTAAACAATCACTTAGGTAATCACTAGAGATTGGGAGTTTGGAGAGTGGTCTCCAGGCCTCACTTTACCAACTGCTCTTAAATTACATAATTTCTTAACTTTTGTTTTCTTGTATAAGTGTCAATATTCCTCTTATCTCTAAAATTTCATGATCAAATTCCTGAAAAAAATATGAAAAAAATGAAACACAAAGTTTATCTAAACTGAGATCACAATTATGTAAAAGGTAAGTTTAAGAAAACAAGGCTAGAACCAACCCAACCCAGAAGCTCTAACTGATTATCTTGGATTATAGACTCTTGGGTACTTTTTCCCTTCCTGCTGTTTCCGATTTTTAAAATACTGAACATGTATTTTGTAGTTAACTTATTTTACCTGTGATAATTGAATTTTAAACATCGAAAAGTTAAATAGACAATTTTTTTTTGCTATATATAGTGGTTAACCAATTCTTAAAAAGTCTTGCTGATACCCATTATAGTGAGCCTGTTTGCTGAAATAGGATGCAAAATGGGTATATCATTTTTATCCTTTGCAGGTTGCTATAAGTTTCATATCTGCCTTCACTTCTCCATATAGCAAGTGGCCAACTGGCAGTGATCTGTTTAGAAGGGAATTTTTGTCAAGGTAGATGTGAAACTGGAATTTACAATCCTACTTACAAAGTTATTATTATTTTTTAAAGACAAAGTTCCATTTAGTTACTAACATAGCTACTCTTTTTATTTCATTATTATTTTAAGAAATTCTTGCCAGATGGAGAGATCCTCAATTAAATATTTTCCAGTCTTTTTTTTTTAACATTAGAAAGACATATTTGGGGACCTAGGGGATGTTATACTTTAATTTCTTCTTTAAATCATGCACTTAAAATAAGACAAACATAATTTTCTTGTACTTTCTTTTAAATGTCACCTAATTTAAAGCTTTTTCTAAGTCTCATAAAGGTAGGGATTGTGTCTGTCTTCTTCATATTTGTATCTCCAGCTCCCAGCACAGATTTCTGCTGATAGTAGATACTCCTTAAATATTACTTAATGAGTGAAAAAATGAACCCTTGATTAATTGTGGGCTTATGTATTAGTAAAAAGTATCTAACTCAAATGGTCAATTCTGCCTATTACTTTAGAGATTTCAGTGCTGTTAACCTAAGAAACTGCAGTGAAAGAAAAATAACATGTAAACATACTTAGTTATTAACAATATAAATATTAACCATGCACATAAAATGTATGTGCCTTGCGATGCATCAGCATAATTTCTGATAGAAGGATTCTGATGGTAGGCTACATAGACTGCATGATTGTTTAGGCTAGATTGACATGGAGCCATAATTGACAACTATGAGAAGCTTTAAATTTTGGATTCTTTTTTAAGTTTATTTGGGGAAGAGACTTAATATGTAAAAGGTCCAACATGGAGCACCATTAACCTGTGAACCATTTGGACATCTGCACAGCAAGGCCTGATGCATCTGTCTGCTGACTCTCGAGCACTCTGTCTTGTTTGGGAATTTAAGTGGCTCCCCAGACCCTGTTGAAGAGGGCACCAAGCCATGTTTGGTATTCTTACCTCTTAATTTATGTTTCTTTCTTAAGCTTTCACTTTTTATTTTTTTATGAAAAGACACGGAATGCTATCTCAGAAAATTCCTTCCCCAAAACAAATTGGGTTGAAAAATGTAGGTAACTAGAAACACTAAAAAAATACCAATCAAACTAATAAAAATAAATAAACTTAGAGTATTTTTCTTATTCATAAATATGTAGTTTTATATTTTTATTTATTTGATCTCATTTAGCTTTTTTATGATAAGTATATTTTGAATAGTAAGTAATTCTGTAGCTAACTGCATTCTCCATCTTTTAAAGGGAAATGTGCATTCTATTTTATTTGAAATCTAAATAATTAGGAAATCGACAACTTGAAATTTCTCTTTTGTCTTTGGATGCTCTCTTTTCTATGAAACCTCATAGCTCAAGAGTCAGAGGTGATAACAATTTTGCATCTCACTTGTTACAGACCCAGTTGTACATGCATCTGACAAACTACTCTGTGAACAAGCACAATGAGCGTTTTGAAAGGGATGAAACTGAAAACAAAGGCAGCAAACGGTCCATCAAATGGTTTACAGAATTTCTACAAGCAAATGAGCATGATGTTGCTAAGTTTTGGAATGATATTTCAGTAAGATTTTACTTTCCACAATTATAACTGTCTTTTCTGAGATTAATTCAGAGAGTTGTCGAACATTTTAAATAACAGTTTACTTTGCATTGGCCAGGTTAGCAATGTTTTGATGAAGGAAGTAGAACTTGGGATATATTCTTACTGCTTAGAATGGGATTCTAACTGCTCAGGATTCTCAGAGGGAATTCTAGCAAAAGCTATGTCAAGTCTTGGTGGCATGAAGATAGTGATAAATAGCCCAAGTTGACACATATATGTTTTTGTGAAAGATTCGTGAGGATTTAGGATTTAAAACAAAAAATACATTGAAGGGCCTCCCTGGTGACCTAGGGGTTAAGTTTCAGTGCTATCATCTCTATGCCTGAATTCAATCCCAGCCAGGGAGGTGACCCCCATGTTGTGGCAGACCTCTCCTGTTCAGCCCGCTGCTCCCCTCAGCAGTGTATTTCAGTCATTCTGCCTTCTCTGCTCCCAACTCTGTCTCTGGTGAATCCTCTCACCACCCACACTTCTGGCCTACATCCCAGTTCTTATATGCATAAATAAACAAATATATCTAAAAAAAAGAATTGCATATATGTATAAAGATAACTATTTAATTTGAACACGTGGATAATATAAAAAGAGAATAAGTAGTTAGTATAGGCAATCTTGCACTAAGTTTTTATCTTATTCTCATAGTTTGTAAATTTGTGAAATTGTCCAAAGATTATTTTTCAGTGACTTCTGTTTTGGAGGTAATTTTTCTAAAATGCTGTAGACTATTATGAAAACTAACATTCAGTTAGTGTGCTTGTTAGAGTGAATAGGAAATTAATTAAAAATCTGGCCACAAAGATTGAAAAGAAGTAATCACTCATAAAATTCTTTCTGTATATGTTAGGTAAAAAAAGAAAATCTTCAAATCCTATTGCAAAGCAATCACTGTTTTGAAATATCTCTAATACATTAGAGGCATTTGATTTTTCTTAGCTCATATCACTCCTGATTTCAGCATATACCTATGATATCCCCTTTAAATGCTCCAAAGTGTGTTGGTTTTCTATAGAAAAACTCAGATTTGTAACTCAAGATCTATTAATATTCACTTTCTCCCCATCTGTCTTGTTCACACACACATTTATTTGCCAAGGTTTTACCTTTCCTCTTACTCTCCAGTGCTTTCACTATGAATATGTTATTTCAAAAATAATCTTGAGAACAATCTCCTAGCATCTCTCATACTTAACCCCAATGTGATCTGGTTTGGATTCTTAGTAACAATCAGCTCAATTTCTGTCTTTTTTTCCTTTTTCTCTTGCATGTAATAAATATTGTTCCCACAAGGCAGAGAATGTTTTGTATTTGATCTTATGTAAAAAATGAAGTTTTGGAGAGATTAAAGAATAACTATATCTATAGTAGTCATAAAGTTGTTAACAGTTATTGGAGATTTACTCTGTTCTAGGCACTGTGATAAGAGTTTCACAGAAAGTCTTACTTTGTCTTTACTTCAGTCCTTTGCAAGCAGATATTCTTACTATTGCCAGTTTAAGTCTGGGGGAAAATGCGACTTGTAAGCTGTAAGCAACATGACTGAGGTTGATATATCACTTAAGTAGCAAAGGCAGGAGTAAATCCAGAAAGTCTTGATTTTAGAGCCAAGTTTTTAATTGTTCTTCTCTGTTGCCTATACCTGTAGAGAGGAGGTTAAAAAACAATATAAGTAAAACCCAGTGAGACAACTTTTCCAAAGCCTACAGATTATACTCAACTTGGGTAAACCAACTAAAAAAAATAGCACTTGTAATTAACCCTAGTAGTACTATATGTTATATAGAATATTTATTAGCTGGCTCTTTGACAATATTCTCATCACAGAGACACATACCAAATCGTGACTGCACAAAGAAACTCTCTTAGATTCTGATTCCTAACTTTTCTGTCTTAGGCTGAGTCGAGGTTGTATACGTTGTTTGTGAAATAGTTTGCTATCCTTGGACATTTTTCTTCCCTGCCTCCTCTGGACCCTTCATGGTTTCTAAGCAGGCTAGTCTCCGATCCTGTCCTTTCATGACAATTAAAAACCATGTTAATCAACTTTTACTTTACTCATCTGTTCACACATATCTTTGGGCAACCACTCAATGCCAGTCACTGTTACAGGAATTGTGAGAGGGGTTGTATATAATACAGACAAGGAGCCTCTACAAAGAAAGAGGTAGGCTGGGTCTATGCTGTGTACATGATGTAGTGAGAACAGAGGCTGGGATGGCCTTCTCAGTATCGAAGAGCTAGAGTGGAACTATTAAGGGAAGCCTGTCCAGGAGAGGGACAACTAGAAGGCCCAAAGAAAGAGCACATGACTAGAGTGCAGTGAGCAGAGGAAATGCTGGATGAAATAAGTTAGAGCAGCTGTGGGTCTGGCTTTGTCTTAGAGCTTCGTGAACATGACCAGTTTGTAAGTCTGCGTTTTTTTTCCATGTAAATGAAATACACACAGATAATGCACCTTCACATTTCTTAAAATAATTCTCCATTCTCCTAGGAACTGGTGGTAAAGACTCTGATTGTGGCGGAACCGCATGTCCTGCACGCCTACCGAATGTGCAGACCTGGTCAACCCCCAGGAAGTGAAAGCGTGTGCTTTGAAGTCCTGGGATTTGATATTTTGTTGGATAGAAAACTAAAGCCATGGCTTCTGGAGGTAAGATATTTCTTTAAGAAGAAATATGTGTTTGTGTATTAAACAACTGTTTTTTAAATATGTACTTTGTGAGTTGAAAGATGCCTGGATAGAGTATGTGGAAGGAAAAGGATGAAAAGTGGGATCACAGCAGTCCTAAGAGTGGATCAATGCTTTTGATATTATCCCAGTTAAGTCTTGACTGTATTTCTAGAGTAGGAGGTTAAGCTGTATATGTGGATCTGTTTTGCTCACTTCTTTCTCCACTCCTTTCTCAGCTGAAGATTTCTGGAAAGTCTTTCCTTTGCTTGGGCTTAGGACCACAACTTCCTTGTCTTCTGTGTGTCTCCCTCAGAGCTGTGCAAAAGGAGACAGATTCCAGTTGGTTCACTAATCAGTGTTACCTAACACCGGGTGGCAGGAATTCTGTGCGTGGGGCTTCCTACCAAGACTTAGGTTTTTTTTTTTTTTTTTTTTTAAAGATTTAATTTATTATTTATTTGTGCATACAGAACTGGGGTACAGGCCAGAGGCTCAGGGGCGGTGAGAGGTTTTCACCAAAGACAGAGTGGGGAGCAGAACAGGCAGACTGCTGCGGGAAGCAGTGGGCGGGCCAGGAGAGGTCTGGCTCGCCATGTGGTCTCCTCCGGGGCAGGAGGCAAGTGGGAATCGAACTCATGCGGAAGTGGCTTCAGATTCTCAATGCTGTGCTTTAACCCGCTGCGCCACCAGGGAGGGCCCCAAGACTTAGGTTTTGTTGTCTGTTCCTCTTATGGTCAGAGTGTTACTGTTTTTCCTTGACCCTAAAATGTCACTTAATATTTGGAAAATATGAAATAATACAAAGGAGAGCTTAAAAGGATTTCTGTTTAAGACATTCAGACCTTTCCTTCTAGTTCTATTTATGTGTGTGGTATATCGGTAGTAAAGGAACTTTGAACTTCTGTGGCCCAGTAATTCCCCATCTCGGAATCACTAAACGTCCTGATCTGGAATCATAGAGCCCATGATCATCAGAAGCTGTGCTTAGCAGTTTTTTTTTCCCCCAGGAAAATACATAGCACTTATCTAAACACTGTTTACTGGTTACCTTTTAAGGAACATTTTGCTGTAGAAGAGACAATCAAATAACTTCCATTTTAAATGATTTTTTTGGGTTAATTTAGAAATTGAAAGTTAAGTTTATAATAGCAGATTTTTTTAAAAAAAGATTTATTTATTTGTGCATACAGAACTTGGGTACAGACGAGAGGCTCAGGGGCGGTGAGAAGCTTCACCAGAGACAGAGTGGGGAGCAGAACAGGTAGATTGACGAAGTACACTGCTGAGGGGAGCAGAGGCTGGTCAGGAGAGGTCTGCCACGCCATGTGGTTACCTCCGGGGCAGGCTGGATCGAACTCATGCGAAAGTTGCTTTAGCTTCTTAGTGCTGTGCTTTAACCTGCTGCGCCACCAGGGAGGGCCTATAATAGCAGATTTTGCATAAGCAAATTGAATGAGTGATAGGTGAGATCAAGACGTTCAAAATATATATTTTTTTTAAGAAAGAACACTTCCAATTTGAGAGTTAAAGTTGTGTGTGTAATCGTCGTACTGCAGACAAGTAATGGGTATCATATATCTAACCAAACAAAATTCTATTAGGTGTTCAAATTTTGCTCTTGCTTATTTCTAGAAGAATTTACTCGTCCTTTTGCTACCTCAGTTCTTTGGATATAAAAGCACTTTATCCTGCTGTGTGGGCCTGCAATACTGTGATTGATAGGAGACATATATTTTGCTCATTCAGACCAAAATAAGTATTTCTCAGACATATTTGGTCTCTATCCTGTTTCTGTTTAAACTCACAACTCTCCAAAGCCTTTCAACTACGAAGAGTTGAGAGTAATAAAGGTGTCTTTTGTTAGGCTGATAAGTGGTTTTCTTGGGGGAAAGCACCTGAAGGTGGTGACTGGTTATCAAGGATACCAGTCACGTGATTAGAGGGTTGGCACTTCCAGCTTCACCCACGGGGAGAGGATGGAGTTGGCGGTTGAATAACAATGACCAGTGAGTTAATAAATCATTTCTATAAAATCCCAGAAGGAGGGATTGTGGAAATTTCTAGGTTGGTGAACACAGAAATTAGGTCAGAGTGGTGACCCTGGAGAGGGTATGGGAATTGTGTGCTTTTCCCCAAAGCGTTCCCTCTGCATCTCTCCCACCTGGCTGTCCTGAGGGAGTTGTATCCTCTATATTATATTGATGATCGGGTGCATAAATGTGCTTCCTGAGTTTTGTGAGTGCCTCTAGACAAGGGATTGACTCTCAGGAGCATGTCTCTCGTTTACAACCGGCTGCTTGAAGCACAGTTAATGTGTTTGGAATTGACACCGAAAGTCTCAAAGGAAAGTAGTGAGAATCTTCATTATGTAGCTGGTAGGCCAGAGCCCAGGGCATCACCTGATCTTGTGGCTGGCATCTGAAGTAGAGGGCATTCTTGAGAAATGAGCCCTTCCTTACTCTGTAGAATCTGATGCTGTTCTTGAGTTTAATTCTCAGCCACAATGCTTTGAATTCTTGCTGGTGAGGTGGAAGGCTCTTTGAACTTGGCCTAGGAAGCTATGCAGGGTCCTCACGTGACAGTTTTTTTTTTACATCCACTATTTACAGTCAGTGTTTCCTGTTTTAGTTCCAGCTACTTGTTATTTATCCTTGATGGATGGGGAAGAGGTGAAGGAAGGCATATGCATGAGGTGGAAATGAAAGGAAAACAGGGAGTCATGACTTTATTGATCGTATTTAGTGTATTTTTCTGACAAACTAGCTTGGTAAATCAGAGTTGACTGAATGATTGAGTTCTGTGTGTGTGTTTTTAAAGGTTCAAAACATCCTTTCTTCACGCTTCATTCTCATCATCATTTTCTGATCATTCAGAACCTTTAATAAAGGTTCTATCTATTGTTTGCATTAGTGTATTTTCATTTCCTATTCATTATTTTATTTTCATATCCATTAAAAACCTCCACGATAATGAACATTTATCATGTTGAAACAGTTAAAAGAATTTAGATTTTGCTATTTTGAATTTTTTCCAGCTGAGACGCTTGTGGTTCTAATCTACTTGTTAAAAACCTTTTGGCGCCATCAAGTGGAATAAGGTGGAAAATGCTTCTGAGAATGTGATAGCTTTGAGTTAATTGGATTAATCGATAGTTAAAATTGTAGAGGCAAAATTGCAGAAATTTTCAAACATAGAAAACATTTTTAGGGGAAAAACATGGAAATTGGGTGGAGTATGGATCTATTGCTAATACTTTTCAGTATCTTTGAGTAAATTTCAACAAGTCGTGTCAGGATGAAAATACAAAAATAAGACTGAATATTTGTTCTGGCATAGTGGGCGCTCCGATATATGTCTTAACATAATAGCTATTAGTAGGGGCCAGGGAAAAAGCAGAGATAATGGGATGATCACTCTTTCTGTGTCCATGTGTATATTTGAGAGTTAAAAAAAAATCTTGGAGAAAGAAGAATACCCGAGCAGAGTAACACTGTAACAGGTGGGATAGGGGTTGGAGGGTAGGAGATTGGATGAGAGGGAGGGAGGTACTGGCCAGAGGAAACAGACTAGAGCTCAGAATTTAGTATGAATACTTTGCTATGTGCATGAATTGTGTTTGCTTTGATAATAAAATTATGATTTGGACAGTTACTAAATAGCATTTATTAATTCCATTTGGGTTTGTAATAATTTTCATTTCTGTTTGCATTTACAAGTTGCTGAAATTTAAGACTAACATCTGCTGGATTTGTCTGTTTTTGAATTGGGGTAGGAAATAAGAACCAAAGATGTCATCAATATTACAGAGTAGTAATATATAGTTTTGGCTGGATAAAACTCTAATTTTTTGAGTTGTTTTTGTCAGCCATTTTTGGTTGTTATATTTTATATTTTTTAACATTTCTCAGAAAACTTATAAAAAATTCTGAATGCTTACCTAGATTGAAAAACATTTTTCTACCTTTTCACATATAGTTTACCTTGTATGGTAAATATCTTAATATAAATTAATGAATTTTTATATACTAGTAGATGAAAAAGAGCAGATAAAAAGACAGACAGGGTTGAGGTTGTATTATATCAAAATCTCATGCCTCTTTGAGTAGGGGTTATGTCCAGCAGAATTCCATATTGCACTTTTGGAGTGGAACACTTAAGAAATTCTGTAAAGATAGATAACATTTCAGTGTACCACTGAATCATCGGTTCTTGACTATCTGTTTTATTTTATAATCTCGCTACATGTAATGGCAGAATTAGCATGAATTGTATCCTAAGTTTTAGCTAGTTGAATCAGTATGGAATGGTTGAAACTTCCCCCGCCCCCATAAACTACCTCACACTACCCTTTCTTTGCACAAGAGGAAGTGCTTAGAGATTTGAAGTAGCAGATTAATAAACTCCCCTTTTCAAATTTACCTGGAATAACTGGATGTTCCTGTACTTGCCAAGCTATTCCCTTCCCACAAGGGCAGAAATATATCCATCATCTTTTAAACCAGGAATCAGCAAACAAGTTAAAAATACAGTTTCTCAATAAAAGGGTGTTGGCATGAAAGAGTTTCATAATATGATATTAAGAGAAAAACTTGGTTTTTGAAATAGGATGGTTCGTATATCAGGTACTAAAAAGTAAAATGATTATGTAAGCATTGAAAATACTTGAAATACCCTTTCTCAAACAATAACCTAGGTAGTGGGTTTAATTTTAGGTATCATTTTGTTCGTTTAGCTTCTACTCACTATTTTTTCTGCCATGATTCTAGTAAGAGACATTTGTATTCCTGGATCATTTAAGTATAAAGTGGATTCTTTCAGCTGTCAGTTGTAAAGTACATACTATCAGTTGTCTCTTTTGGTGATTGATTTGCACAAAACAGTACTCTCTGACAAATAGCAGGCCTGTTTTTTGAGATAATGTGTAGGTTTAATTGGTGGACATGAAGCTAGGCTTACAGTTTTGAAGTCACTAGTGTTCTAACCTACTGCATTCACTAGGAGTTTTTTTTAAATAGCTGTTATTCCAGTTACAGTGTCCTAATAATAACATCAACCAAGGACAAAGCCAAAACTCCAATTCTTGAAGGGGTAGCATATTGTATAATGAATTTCATGGTATATTCAGTTAACTTTTATTTTCAATGTTAATGGAATACTGGAATATAGAACAACCATAAGTGTCTTAGGTTATTCCCATGAGGCCTATCCAATTAAGGATTTTCATAAGCAGTTAGTCCGCAACTATCATAGTGGTGTCTTCTGAGTAATGTAGGTGATGTACTCAGTACCTTTTGGAAGTGAAATTGATGAATTATTGTCTGAGCGAGGTGGAAAGAAATTTTATTTTTTTAGACTGTGATAGACTAATCCAGAAGATATATAATAGTGAGAAGTGGGCACTGATGGTATCCATATGCTAAATATGTTCATACATATAATTCTTACTAGATTGGTAAATAAACATTATGTTTGTCATTATCATTGTCCTTTTCCCTTTTTTTTTTTTAAAAAAAAGATTTATTTATTTAAGCATACAGAACTGGGGTATAGGCCAGAGGTGCAGGGGCGGTGAGAGGATTCACCAGAGCAGAATGGGGAACAGAACAGGCCAACTGACGAAATACACTGCTGAGGGGAGCAGCGGGCGGGTCAGGAGAAGTCTACTGGGCCATGTGGGTCACCTCCCGGGTGGGGATTAATTTCAGTGCTATGCTTTAATCTGCTTCACCACCAGGGAGTGCCTGTCCTTTTACTTTTATCTTATGTAAACTTAGAACCTATGGTATCTGTAAAACCCTGAAGAGAGTAGGGAGTAGAAAAAGGGTGAATGTGCTGACTACAGATACTGAACTGAGGCAGCTAGGGAAAGTGGGGCCACTAACAGTCAGTTCCTTGACTTTGGGTGATGGAAATGGAGGTATGGCCATGGTAACCTGGGCCATTTCCTGTATAAAGCTCTACTGATTCCCTGTTAGATTACCAGAAGTGGACTGAGTTATTTACTGACCTTCTAACATTTGGCTACTCTCATTATATTTTATATGTACATTTTAGATCAATCGAGCACCAAGCTTTGGAACTGATCAGAAAATAGACTATGATGTAAAAAGGGGAGTACTGCTAAATGCACTGAAACTACTAAACATCAGGTAAAGTTTTTCCCTCCATCTTCTGGAACTTTCTCTCTACTTGATATATCCCTCATTCATACATGGGATTGTCTTATATCATGTTTTGTATTTGGTATTTTTTTTTCAAGATTTATTGTATGCATACAAGAACTGGGATACAGGTTAAAGGTGCAGGAGGTGAGAGGACTCACCAGAGATAAGAGTGGGGAACAGAAAAGGTAGATTGACTGAAATACATTGCTGAGGGGTGCAGCAGGCTGGGTAGGAGAGGTCTACCATGTCATTTGGTCAGCTCCCTGCCCAGGGATTGAATTCCTGCTGCAGTGACTGTGGATAGCTTCATAGTGCTGTGCTTTAACCTGTTGTGCCACCAGAGAGGGCCCTATTTGGTGTTTTGAATTGTCTTCATTTTATTCATTAACCCTTGGTTGTTTAGATTTGTAAAAATATATTTTTCTCCATATTTCTTTCACACTGCTTTTCCTTCTTTCAATAAAATACCCTGAACTTGCAGTAAGTGTGGTTAAATTATAGTGTGGCATACTTATTTATTATAGAGTATAAGATTGAAGTGAAGAGTACCTTAGGAAATGTTCCAGATGCTCTTTCTGCTCTTACAAGAAAGAACTAAACTGAAGAAGTCCTTTAGGAAATAAAGAACAAAACCAAGTAACACAAACATGGATTTTTTTTTTTACCTTTCTGTCCAGAGATCTCCCCTCTGTATCTTATAGGCTGAGTAAATAGAAAGAAGAAGCAGTTATTAAGTGAGGATTTACTTTCCCACTGGAAATCAAAGATTAAAATTTGTTCTTTTTTATATGATGGATAGTATTCCACTGTATGTATATATAGATTCTCTTTACATATTTATTTAGGTTGCTTCAATGTCTTGGCTATTGTGAGTAATGGTGTGGTCAACTTGGAAGTACAGATATCTCTTTGAGATTCTGATTTCGACTCCCTGTGGGCATATATTCAGAAGTGGGACTGCTGGGTCAAAGGTCAATTTTTAGCCTTAAAAAAGAAGGAAATCCTAGAAAGAAAAAGAAAAATACTGGATGGTTTCTCAAAGCAGGAGTGTAAGTGATGGGGGGGGGGGGAGAGAAGCAATTTTAGTAAAGTAAAAACAAACATCAACAGACAACTGTAAACCAGAGACATGGGGGGTGGGGGGCGGGAGCAGAACAGGATCAAAACTGGGTCTGAAAGAGTGCACGGGATTGTGGTGATGGCACATGGGTGAAGTGATGATGGAAGTCCACGGCGATTACAACGGAGATGAAAAAAAAATGTACAAAATGGAGAATGATGTAAAAAACAAAAAGAAAAAGAAGAAAAATGATAGAAATCCTTCCATTTATAAATTGGAGAACATTATGTTAACTGAAATAAGCCAAACACAGCAGAACAAATACTATATGGTATACCTTATATAAGGAATCTGAAGTAGTCAAAATTGAGGCAGAATTATGATTGCTGGGGCTGGAGAGGTGGGTAATAGGGGGATAATTGCAAAGAACAGAAAGTTTCATTAACACAAGATGAATAAATCCCAGAGATCTATTGTATAGCATAGTGCTTATGATGATAATATTGTATTATATTCTTAACAGTTTGCTGAGGGGTAGATCTTATGTTGTGTTTTTATTATCAATAATAATAAAGAGTGAGAAAATTTTGGAAGTCATAGATATGTTTGTGACATATTCATGGAAGTTTGCTTATCTTCCATATCATTAAATGATATACATTAAATGTGTTCATATCATTGTATGACAATTATATCTCTCTCCATAAAGTGGTTTAAAAAATAAACAGATGGCAATAGAGGTAATAACTGTAACAACAAAAAGAAAGCATTGACCGAGTGGGAAGTTACGTTTGGAAGAAGGTCTGGCTGGTATGGGTAGGCTGCTTACAGGTTACATAATTAGTTAGCAAATTTTTGAAATGCTTATTTTGTGGGAAAGCTTTTGGGTTATTCCAAAAGAAACTTGTTAGAAATTTTAACTGAATTACTTAATGAAGGTAGTGAGTTGTCAGATAACATTTAGGGTGTCGCATTAAGAAAGACATTTGAGGTATTTAAGCACAGGATTTTTGATTTTTTTATTCTGATCATCATTTTAAAACCTCTAGAAGAGTTGTGGGATGCTCCCAAATGACTTATTCTAGATGTTTCCATGCATTTAGCAGATGCCTGATTGCAAAGTGACTTTCTATTGAAGACATCACTTTAAAAAAAAGAGGTGGGCATACATAATTGTTCAGAAATGTTCACCAGTTCCCTTATTTAGTTTGATCAAAGAATGTTAGGCAAAGAATGTTTTGCCTAAATTCTACTGATAACATTATCTTAAAATAAATGAATTAGAAAGGAAAGAGATATATGGAATTAGAACATAGTGAGAACTAAATAAAACTTGGAATGATAGAAAAGGGTGGCAAAAAACAACATCCAAATGTAACTAATTGTAGGAAGATAAAGAAGTGTTTTAAACAAAGCACAGCATGTGCATTTCTAGAGCTAGTGAGTTTGTGATACAGGAGTCCAGAGTGTGCAAAGTAAATGGTTAGAGAAATTCCCTGGATAGAATGACAGCTATGATTAGGAAACGATTCCATAAAGTGGTGAACAAGACTCCCTAAGTCAGCGCACAGATACAACTGTATAGAAAATTGCTGATTAAAATGCTAAGTAATAGAGATCATTTACACTTTTCGTTAAATTTAATTTTGGTCAGGGAGTGATGTATTGACAATACTTATGCCTATTCATGCCTATATTTATAAAAATCTAGACTGATTTCAGAATGGCAGAATTCCTACAGGCTAGTATGGCAGTTTTCCCTTAGAGAAAAATATCTTAGGGTGATTTCCTTTGTTTCTATTTTTCTTCTTTTCATTTATTATTTTTAAAAATTTATTTATTTATGCATACAAGAACTGGGATACAGACCAAGGTGCAGAGGGTGAGAGGATTCACCAGAGGCAGAGTGGGGAGCAGAAAGACAGATCCACTGAAACACACTGCTGAGGGGAGCAGCTGGTGAGAAAGGAGAGGTCTGTTGTGCCATGTGGGTCACCTCCCTGATTGGGGCTGTAGAAAGCTTCAGGGATTCAAGGAGACTTAACCCCTTGGACCACCAGGGAGACCCTTCTTTTCATTTTTATTCTCCTTCCTCTCTCCTCTTTCCTTTTATATGGAATGCTATATAGAAATGGTCAGTCTAGACAAAGTGAAATATTAAATAATAAATTTAAGAACTACCTAAGCATGGCATACTCCTTTTTCCTTTAAACAGGAAATTCAACCAATTTTTTTTTTTAAAGATTTATTTATTTGTACATACAGAACTGGGGTACAGGCCAGAGGTACAGGGACGGGGCAGGCGGGAATCGAACTCATGTGCAAGTGGTTTTAGATTCTCAGTGCAGTGCTTTAACCCGCTGCGCCACCAGGGAGGGCCAAAATTCAACCAATTTTAATATTCATCTTTGGAAAAATGCTACTGTCAGAAAAGTAGTCACAAAAATCAGAATCTTATGTCAAGTTCTTTTTGTTATTCCACATACCTAGTTAATCATAAAATGCATTTATTTCTCTTCCAAAATAAGTCAGCTCTTTTCCCTTTAATGTAATCACTGCTTTCTTAGATTCACACCCTCATACTTTCTGGCAAAGTAGCATTCCATTTGTTTTAGCCTGTTAGGACTGTCTTAACAAAACACTACACATGATAGCTTATAAACAGCAGAAACTTATTTCTTACAGTTCTGGAGGCTGGAAGTCTGAAATTAGGTACCAGCTGGTAGAAGGAGGGTGCTTATCTGGGCCAAAGACTTCTTCACCCTCATGTGGTAGAAGGTTTAAGGAGTTTCTGGAGCCTTTTTTTGTAGACAGCAATCCCTTTCAATAGAATTCTGCCTTCACTATCTAATCACTATCCCTCTGCTCTACTTAGCAATTCCATCACCATTTGGGGCTATGATTTCAGTATATGAATTTGGTGCAGGGGCACACTCAAGACATTGCACCGTCTTGACTGCCTAATTCTTATTCTAAACCACTGTACATATTGCCAAGGACATACACATATGGTTCTGCCCTTCTTGTAAATTTCACCCCTCTCTTCATTGACTAAACTTGAATTTGAGACTTAATAACCCAGTATTAAAGCCAGCTGAATTTCTTGCATTCATCCACAGCTCCAACAAAACCGAATGACTGTTATCTGCCTGTTTTCTTTTCTTTTTTAAACTACTACTTCAACCATTCCCTCACGCAGATCTCAGTGTTACCAGGAAAGAGAATAGATAAGTTTCCTAGTACTCCTGCAAGTTCAAGTTGTGAGGGAAAAGAACACTTTTTTTTTTTTTAATGGAGGCTCCATCTTCCCAATGCAATTTCATAAGAACAGATGGGATCACTTGTTAACGTAAGCATTTCTTTTACCTCTCCACTCTAGAAATTGATCAGATGGCCTCATTGTACCTTTTCCTTTGGTTTATACCTTTATCTTGATCCTATAGGCTAATGACAATAGAGGGTGTAGGAACTTAAACTCAAGGATCCAGATCCTGTCTTTCCCCAAGGCGGAGTTTACTCTGCCCTTGCTAGATCCTTAAGAGAGGTGTAGAACAGTGCAGCTGGAGGGAATGTGAAGGAGAGACCTCAGGCTTCATTTGTGCACATAGAATAATAGATGAGAGGCTCCCAGGAAGGCACTGTCACAATAGGCCTCTCCTATAAAATCAGACAGCTGTCACTAAATAAAATAAAAAAAATTTCATGATTGTGCTAAAATAAAAAAAGACTATGAAAATGCTTTCCAATAATGATTGGTAGGCTGGGATTTCAGTAACACTAATAACACTAAGGGTTGGTTAATATAAGTGGAATGCTTAAATATCAATGGAATTGGTTTAGAGAGGAAAAGAGAAGTTAATATTTATTAAAAGCCTACTAGTCTTACCATAAGTTAATTTTTATAAGAATGCTAAGTGGGGGAGACTGTTAATATTTAGTAGATGGGGAAACAGACTGACCAGTTAATTGACCTAAAATTGTAGAATTAGTAAATTATGATGGAAAATGAAGTTAGGCATCTCTGAACATTTAGTTTCCATTATATCTTTTTGACCTCAGAACTTCTGCATACTATGTGGAAACCTGTATTTGATGAATGATTAGATGAATACTGTGGGTATGAATATATAAATTTAATAAACATTTACTTCTGTCCCCACTGTATCTCTTCTTCTGCTACTTCTCTCCACAGGTATAAGATCAGAGGTATTCGAATTCTAGAATGTAGCCTATGTTTTATGTTTTAGGACTAGTGATAAAAGGAGAAACTTGGCCAAACAAAAAGCTGAGGCTCAAAAGAGGCTTTATGGTCAAAATTCAATAAAAAGGCTCTTACCAGGTTCTTCAGATTGGGAACAGCAGAGACACCAGTTGGAGAGGCGGAAAGAAGAGTTGGTATGAATTTTTAAAAAACATCTCCACGATTTGAATTGCTTGCTTTATTTGTCAGGTTTTATTTGTGATTTTTTTTCATTTTTAGAAAGAAAGACTGGCTCAAGTACGAAAGCAGGTCTCAAAAGAAGAACATGAAAATAGACATATGGGGAATTATAGGTAATTTTGTTTCCTTTTTTTTTTTAATAGATTGAAGAAATGAAGTGTCAAAACAATTATTCTCTATGTATTTTTAACCTTGTAGGATTTTTTAAACTACTGTTTAATTTGTTATGAAAACTGTTTTTGCTTAATCTTTCCAGAAAGAGAAGATAGTCAAGGAGTTGATAGTTCAGAGTTAAGAAATTCTTGCTAGCTTGCTGCTGGGGTGATGGAAGTCTTTTAAACCAGACATTGTCCTGTGACTTCATGCGGTTACAGTTTGATATTTTGAAAAAGTCATGTTTCGTATTTCTTAGTATTCACACTGCAGTCCAAAGTTGCTGTACTTTGTCTTAAACTCAGGAGCCAGGCAATTAATGAAAAATGTTTGAAGGGGCTAGATATAAGATGGTAGAGAGGGGTGTGGATTGTCCCAAACTAGAACTCTTCTACTGTATCACTTTTGATAGGATGAAGGGGTGGGGGGACAAAGCTCCTTATATTCTGGAAAAGACCACTTCTCCTCCCAGATTTTGACATCAACTCAACAGAATTAGGAAGATTTGAGGCTAACGAGCTTCCTTTCTTTTGGTGGGTTTTTCTCTGGGCCCTTAGCACTGTCATCAGGAGTGATGAGGACCTTTTCTTCTCACTCCACTTCTAGCCAGTTCTATTCTAGACAGGCAAATTCTAATCCTTGAAAGAGATCATCAAGATTAATTACTTTATTCTTGTGTACTTTGGTAATCACACTAAATCCAAAATTTCCCAGTTATCCCTCATACCCTGAACTAATCTCCCATCAAGCTCAGTATTTCTCTAATATGCCCAATTATAGTTTTCCAGCCATCTCCCTCCCTCCAACCAAACCCTTATAGAATATTTTTTTTTGCAACTGCATTATTTAATGAAATTCTGTAGATAAACTTTATTTTTACAGAGGTAACAAAAATTACAAATTTCTCATGACTATAATTTAGTTTTATTCTTACTACCTAGTAAAATGTCTGACACAGAGAAAGTAAACATTATGTAATTGACCTTAACTCTTGTGCTGTGAAGGTTCTCTTACACAAACTAATTTTTTGTGATTTTATTGTAGACGTATTTATCCTCCTGATGATAAAACGCTTCTTGAAAAGTATGAAAGTTTGTTGGCTGTCGCTTTTCAGACCTTCCTTTCAGGAAGAGCAGCCTCATTTCAGAGAGAGTTGAATAATCCTTTGAAGAAGATGAAGGTGTGTGTGGTTTAAAAAAAAAAAAATTATTCATTCTTACAAGAACTGGGGTACAGGCCAGAGGTACAGGGAGGGAGATAAGGAGATCCACCAGAGACAGAATGGGGAGCAGAGCAGGCAGACCGACTGAAATATACTGCTGCAGCAGGTAGATCAGGAGAGGTCTGCCGCGGCATGTGGGTCAGCTTCGGGCCCGGGATTGAATCCCTGCTGCAATGGCTGCAGACAACCCCACAGTGTTGTGCTTCCACAATAAATGAGTGTTTTTAAAGAGAAAAGAGGAGTGATGCTAATAGTATATCTTTAAAAACAATCTAACTATATTCCACATAGAAGAGCACTTTCAAAATGTACTTTCCTTCCATTTTAACAGCTGATAGCATTTCATAGTCAACTAAGTGATTCATAAATAAGTTGTCTAACAGGGCAAAATATGCAGTAGAGAATATTTATTTTTTAAAGATTTAAAAAAAATTATGCATACAAAAATCAGGGTACAGACCAGAAGTATGGGAGCAGGGGTGAGAGGATTCACCAGAGTCAGAGGGGGGAGCAGAACAGGCAGATCAAGTGAAACACACTGAAGAAGGGACCAGGGGGTGAGACAGGAAAGGTCTGATGCAACATGTGGGTCAGCTACCTGGCCAGGGATCAAATTAGTGCTACAGTGACTGCGGATAGTTTTGTAGTGCTGAGAGCTAGACCCCTGCTTCACCAGGGAGGCCGAAGAATGTTGTTATCAACATGTTATTACATGTAACAAACATGTTATTACAATGATGTGTATATATAACTGAATAAAAAATTCAGTGAATTAATCTAGTGATGTTACCATTATAAGCAATGTAACAAACATTACAACATTTGCTCCTGCATAAATTTGGCATATGAGATATGAGATATAATTAAAATACATGTGTGCATACACACACATACTGTAATCTGTTTACCTTACTAAAAGGGCTACCAACTATCTATTAATAACAGTCTATAAAAATTATCTAATAATCTACTATTACAGAATAATGAATCACTTAATTCCTTTATCCACTGTCCTGCCATTTTAACTGGCTGAGCTGTGCCATTCTTCTGCTGGCCTTGCTTGAAATAAATCATACAGTTGCATATATCTGAAAGTTTAACTGGAGCTGGAAATCCAAGATAACTGTGTTATATTTCTGTTATCTCCATTATGATAGTCAGAACATTTGGAGAGCTGGATAGGTATCGTTTTCTCTCTGCATGGTCTCAGCAGGGTATTCAGAGCTCTTAGTTTGGTAACTTGGGTTTCCAAAGGGAACATTTCAGGAAGACAAGGCCATCATGCAAGTGGAATCCAGCCTCTGCTTGTATCCTGTTTGTCAAAAAGGTTTATCTGGGCCTGTTAATACTGCTGGTATTTGTATTATTGGGTCTCTACCTACAACGATAACTTCCACCATGTTGGATTCCATGTTATGAGTGATTGGAAAAATAGTAATAAGATCTAGTTTAGATAAACTTTGCTAGGGTCTTTTTACTCAAAATCTGCAGTCTGTGAGTATATTTATTATTAAATTGTTTCTAAATGAAATCGCTATAATGAAACAATCCAAAGTTGTCTGTCTGAAGTTGTAATATCCTATTGCAACAATCAACATAGACATGATTAAAGTTGTCATTTGGAAAATGAGTGTTAAATTTTGGAAATTTTAAATTGTCTAATAGGCTAATTTTTGAGGTATTGTATTACAAGCTTTTAGTAGCATATTAGAACACAGAGAGATACATTTGTTTGTAATAATACGTAGATGTCAGTGATATATTATTTCTTTTGCTGATTTTAGTGAAAGTTAATTCAAGAGAGTTTGCTGTGACTTTATTTCTATTTAATAAGCAATCTTTAAGTAACTTCAGGAAAACTTGTTGTACCCCACTTTATGGAGATTGATCTTGGAAAAATTCTAGAGTCTGTTAGTGATCACCAATTTTATTACATATTTTTCTAAGGAGGAAGATATTTTGGATCTTCTGGAACAATGTGAAATTGATGATGAAAAGTTGATGGGAAAAACTGCCAAGTCTCGAGGACCAAAGGTGCAATACCTTACTTCCTTAGTAGCCAAGTAGATGCTACTACTACTAAGCATAGCTGTTTCCCCTTTATGTTTCACCTAAGAATGTCTGTTACAACTTTTAAGCAACTGTATAGACTATCCAGTGTGGATAGAATAAGAAAGATAATGTTACTTACAATCAGGCTTTGTTCATTTCCCTCATTGTTGATATTTCCCCTTTTTCAAGTGAAAACCTCTCAGGATCAGGGGTGAGGAAGAACTTAGAGCTACTAACCTTGTTTTGTACTCAGTGTTAAGTTTTCTGCATATCTCTAGATTTATATTTATCAGAGATATGTGTAGCATTCAAGAAAGTGAATCCAGACTCTAGAGGCCCTATTTTGGTACCCCAATGATATTGAAATTGTGTTCCTTAAAATAGGTTGTTTTTTGTACCAAATAGAATACTGTCATTTGTTTATATAGTAAAGTCCTTGCTAGTAGTGTAGGAAAGAGTTAACTTTGTCATATTGTGGAAACTTTTCATTCTATAGTTCAGCAATATTAAGCTATTTCTGGGTCCTTACATCACGTTCTGTCATGCTTTTGTGCTTTCCCCATGTCTCAGGAATGCCTGAGTTAAAAACAATCATTCATTTGTGTTTGATTGATCAGAGTCCCCTCCTAATCCAGTTGAATCATTATTGCCTTTGTGAAATCTTTTCTTTCTCTGCCGGTAAAACTCAGATCTTTTCCTCCCTTCCCCTGCTGTACCACAAAGAACATTTCTAAAGATTAGTTGTGACAAGTAATTGATGGCATGTTTTCCATAATTGGGTTCATAAATTCCTTCAGACTTAGATATATATTTTCTTCTAGCACCTGTTATACATAGCATCTGGCACTTGATAGGTTCTCATAAACCATTAGTTAGATTTTTGAATGTGTCCAAAGGATGTCATTGGCTAGTGGAAGACAAATGGGTAAACCAAAAATCAGGAATTATGATAGGTAGTTATGTAATAAAGTATGCAGCAGTAGCATAGAGAAGAAAATAATTGCTAGACTGTGTATGGCTTCTTATATAAAATAAACACCATATGCATTGGGGCTTGAGTGAATAGTGTCTAAAGATTTAAGAGGGTTGGATGATTATGTGGGGTAGGAAGTTCATTAAAGACAAATCCATGGAGGTGTGACACTGCATAGTTGTTGGAAAAACATTGAGTTTTCTTGGTATGACACAAGTGGAAAGTTCTTGGAGAGTAAAATGGTGCAAGAAGAACTGGCAAAAGACATATCTACTGGAGGCTAGAGAGCTAGGATGTCAGGTATTGTTCTGTGTTTTCTGTTGAAGAATAGTGGAAGATGTTGATTATTCCTTTGGGACAAATAAGAGTATATAAAAGTAAACACTTTCATGAGTGGAAACATTGGGAAGGTCTAAGCTTAGTATATTCATTGTTGTAATTCAGTAAAATCAGATGTGAGTCAACCTGGGGACACAATATTCATAGCAAAGTGGCAAATGCAGAGACCCTAAGATAGCCTTCTACTGGCTTATAGCTTTCATTACTTCATCAAATCAGGATTATCATTCAAATAAAAAATATAACTTGTTGAAGAACAGAATTCATGTTGAAATCTTTTAACTTCTCTTATTGGTTTGTTCCTACAGTTATTAGGGCCAGCAGTATTTCACGGTGCTTGAGAGCTGAATAGTCAGTTTGCAGTAAAGGCATTTTATTCTTCATTCTACACAGTTGGCTTTGAGTAAGCCAAACTTCAAAGTAGGCTTTGTTAATATCACATGGCAAATTTGATTTCCAGTATCTTGTTAGGACCAGGGAGGGCCATGCAATTCCATTTTATACTTTTGGTACTGCTTAGTGTTTATACATTTGTGACTTCTAGTTATTGAACATTGTCTTGGTCAAACAGTTCCACATGCATATGTGACACATAGGTTCCAGTTGTCCATTTCTCGTTGTGATTTTTATAGGAGCAAATAAATTATTACTCAGCCTGATTGTGTCCCTGTCCTCTGGGCATGCTAGACTTCGGAAGGACAGCCTCTCTTATAATTCATAACTTTCAGAATGTTTGATGGCTGTGTAAATGTTTTTATGCATATCACTTTGAACATTGTTAGTGCTCAGTAACTATTAGATATCAAAAGAAGAACATACTTTTAAACACAGCTTGATACCTTAGTGTATTAAAATACTTTCCTGCTTTGGTTATTTTTTATCCCTTGCAAAGGCATTAACTTTAAGATCATGTTTTGGCTTACTATGTATTCCAGACACTTCATGAAATGCTTATCTCTTTATCTTTCATCCTACACTGTTACACAAGAGGATACACCTTATTTCAGTGAAATTTTATGGTAACCAAGGATTTTATTATGGTGTATGCTAACATCAAAACATTTTCTTTGATTTGACAGAGAAAAAGAAACTAGTATACAACTGTAGGGTCTTTTCCCAGTAGGAATGAGAGGCATATGGTGTGTGTAATAAATAGTCTCTTAGAATGACTAAGTTACAAAACTGTCTTGTTCTTGGCTATGCAAGAACAAGTGAAGCAGTCCCTCTTCCCTGTCTTTGTTCATTTAGTGGTATCATTGGAAGTAGATTGATTGGGAGGTTTGGAGACAAATGATTCTAATAAAGATATTGGAACATAATAGCTTGGCATTTTGAATCCTTACTGATTTACCCTTTACATGGTGTGCTGTCCTCTGAAAACCTCATGCCATACTGACTTTCACACTACAGCATTAAGAGAAAAACTTTTTTCTCTTTTATTTTAATAATACAATAGTTTATTTTTGCATTATTTTGTGCATTTTTCTGTCTTAGTTGTAATCCCCATGGGAGAATTTTTTTTTAAAGATTTATTTATTTATTCATACAGAACTGGGGTACAAGTCAGAGGTGCAGGGGTGGTGAGAGGATTCACTAGAGACAGAGTGGGGAGCAGAAAAGGCTAATTGACAAAGTACACTGCTGAGACGAGCAGGGCGGGTCACGAGAGGTCTGCTGTGCCATGTGGATCTCCTCTAGGGCATGGGATCAATCTCACACTGGAGCGGCGGGGCCAGCTTGCAGTGTTGCATCCTTACCCATTGCACCACCAGAGAGGGCCCTGAAAAAGTGTTTTATGGGCAATGAAAAGTAATGTTCCATTATGGCCATAATGTATGTGCCATACGTTCCATTATGTGCCAGGATTAGGAATTCTCTGAGAAAAGGCATGAGTTGTTACTGGAAATATGGAAAATGACCAATTAACTAAAATGTTTTATTTGTAAAAATGTCCACGGTGGGCCCTCCCTGGTGGCGCAGTGGGTTAAAGCACACTACTAAGAAGCTAAAGCCACTTCTGCATAAGTTCGATCCCCGCCTGCCCCAGAGGTGACCAGATGGCGTACCTCTCCTGACCTGCCCGCTGCTCCCCTCAGCAGTGTACTTGTTGATCTGCCTGTTCTGCTCCCCTCTCTGTCTCTGGTGAAGCCTCTCGCTGCCCCTGAGCCTCTGGCCTGTACCCCAGTTCTGTATGCACAAATAAATAAATCTTTAAAAAAAAATGTTCACAGTGAATTAGACAGGCAATACTTTGCTTCTTATTGTATAGTATCTGAGTAGATAGACTTCCTTATTGTCGGTATTGTTTTAACATGTGGTCTTCTTTTATTTATAGTGGTTTATCTGTTTGCTTAATTCGCTTTAACCCTGTTTCTTCTTCTCTCCTTGTCGTTTCTTACTTTCATAAGGACACAAAATATACTTCCATACATTTTTGAGTTAACATGAATGAGACATCAAAAGGACATCTTTGAGTCTTGAGGAGTAATGACTAAAATGTAAAATGAAGAAAAACTGATTATATTTCTGATTTTTATTGCAATATTTGTCCTTTTGTTGTTCTTTGTAGATATTTTGTTCCTTTATTCCAATCATGAAGAAACAGCAGTTTCTACATCATACTGAGCTATAGCATATATAGGGAAGAATATTTTGCAGGAACAGAAAAATTAGTGAATGTCTTTGCATATTAATAGCAGAACTATAACAATAGTACTTTGGGGGATTTTTAGCCTTCGATGAAAATCAGCAAGCAGATATGGGAAATTGGATATTGTAACTGATACATTAATAAGTCTTTTAAAAATGCTAGCAAAATAACATTTCTCTCTATTTTAGCCTCTATGTTCTATGCCTGAGAGTACTGAGGCAATGAGGAGACAGAAGTACTATAGCAGTGAGAGCAGTTACGACAGTAACAGCAGTTCTTCAGAATCAGATGAAAAAGACGACTACCAAAATAAGAAAAGAGAAAAACAAGTTTCATATAATTATAAACAGTCTAACCCCTACAAATTGATGCAACCATCCAGTAAGTTGATGTCTTCAAAATTTAGTTGCTATGTGAAGGATTATGAAACTGAAATTACTGAACTCAATAAAAGACCATGGGCTAAATGAACCCTCTTGTGTGAGCAACCTGAATTCAACACCTCCTTCCCTAACTACCCCGGGGCACAGACCCCTGCATCCCGCTTCAGGGGCTTCATCTGGGAAACAAAAGCGAGGAATTAAGGGTCTCTGAGGTCCATGCCTCCATATCACAGTTGCTGTTAAGTGCTAGATTTTTGCTTGGATTTTATGAAATGTGTCACATGACTGACCTATCTTTTGAATTCTCACTTAAACCAATGTATTCTTACTCTGTTCCCAACTCTCTACCTCTGTTTTCACTCATTTTTAAAAAAAATCTATTTTTTAAGTGTGTAACATAAACCACACAATTGTGAAATAGTTCACTTTACGTTTCTCCTTTTCCTCATGGGTAAGCACTGAAGTCAGAGCTTTTGGTGAACAGAAGATATTTAGGAGCGTTACCAACCTGCAACTTTTTTGTTTTCTTTCTTTCCTGCTTTCTTTTTTCCCATATCACAGTGTTCCTATTTTCCATTCATTCCTTCTTAGATTCCTTTGTTTCTTAAAGATGGGTGCTTTCAGTAGGTCTCTGTGTAACTGTCTGTCTTGGATGCTGAGCTGGTCCTGCCTAGATTTCATCAGTTTTAACTCCTGTCCTGTTGTGTAGCGTGTGCACTTAGTAGCAGCGGGTACTGTCCAATGAGAGTAAAGCTGAGAAAAACATGCTAAGATTCCAGTGGCTCTCAGATTACTCTTTGCTCTTAAACCACTAGATTAATAAATTGAAATCAAATTGAATAATAAACATGTGATACACTTAAAAATGTATTTTTAAGTGTGAATCCTGTTTTCAAAACTAGGCCAACTCAATAACCTATCTTTTTTCCTCATTAATTACAATTTTTGTAGTCTTTGGGAATTAGAACAAGGGTTTCACTTTGTTTTATATTCTCTCTTAATCTTTCAGTAAGGAATATCATAGCCACAATTCCCCATGAGTTTTATTGACAAAATATTGCTGATGACTGGGGATAAAATCAAAATTATATGTAACATTTTCTTTTGTAAATAGTTTACTTAGGAGAGTCAAGCCTGTTAGAACTTTGAATGAATATGTCTTGGTTTGCTATAAGGTAGCCATATACAAAATTATATAAAATATTTTTTTACATACTTTGGCAGATAATAGTAATTTTTTGGTAATCTACCCAAATATCATTGGCATGTTTAGCCTATTGAGATATACTCTCTGAATTTCCAGCATATATTGGGAAAAAATGGAAATTTGCAGAGATTTAAAGGAAAAGACATTTTTCTTGGGCTTATGTGATCAGGTTATGTATGTCTAAACCTTCACCTTAAACCCTCACAGAACAGGGGTGAGGTGTAGGTTGTCCCTATGCTGTTGGGAATTTTCTCTGTAAAAGAGTGACTGGGGATATGTTCCCCATTTAGAAGCACTGTTCTTAAAAAAAAAAGTGTAATTTTTTTTTAGGTTCAAAAGGAAGTTGATATTTGGAACAAATGGAAGTGTTTTTTTTATAAAAACATCTTTTATAGCTTGAGTGAGTATCCTTTTTTTTTTGTATTCTCCAGAACCTAAATGAGGGCTCTTAATCATCTATTCAAAATATACTTTAGAAGTACATCCCTAAATATAAGATTTATGTCCATTACCTTTATAAAGGTTTAAATTTTTTTCAACAGCTAATGAAGAGAAATATTTGGGTATTCAACCTGCCTTCATGTGAGTTTTATTAAAATTATTTAATTAATGGAAATTGATATATTCCCCAAACAGAGAGAATATAGAACAGAGGGTGGATAGAATATGACTAACACAATATGCATTTTGTAATATTGTATTTGTGTTTATTTCCCTGTGTTAGGAGTCTAAATTTACCTGGAACAGTTGGTTCTCTTTTTAAAGTTTTTTTCAGGATCCTTTGGGAAAGAAATTCTATGGTTTTTCTTTGTTTGATCTTATAACACCCTTTAGATCCTGACTTTTTATTTTCATTTAATAATATTAATCTTTAATATATTTAATTATGTATTTTAAACTCCATTGCTCTTTATGTTCTTTTATTTATTTATTTATTTTTCTTATGACCCTAAATTCTGTACCTTACCCATTTATTCTGGCTATTCTCTAGATGCCTTTCCATCCCTCTATATGAATCTTGATGTATTCTATCTCTTACCTAAACACAAGATTCTAGTAAATGACTGGTCTAATCCAAGAATAGTGGATGGCATCATCAAGTAGGGAGGTCAGGATTTATACCTGAACTTGGTCACTTTCTTGTCCTGTGACCTTGAGAAAGTTTTTTCTCCGAACCTCCAGACGATGGATGGAGATCCTACTTTAGAGGGTTTCTGTGAACATTAATATGAAACAATAGCACCTAGCATGATGCCTTTCTTGTAGAAGGTGCTCCATAAATGTTAGTTTTTCTTTCTTCTGGTTCTTGTGTGTCATGTTTTGAGAATATAGCATTAACTATTAGTCACATGATAGTCATTATCAGACATGACAGAGGTTCTCTACCAAGTTCAGCTATTTAAACTGAAGAATTAAACTCAATTAAATGCAAACTCATATTCTCATTATAATGCCTATGCCTTGACATTTATTGTTAAATATAATTGTTAGTTTATAAAGACCTAAGTAGAGTGTAACATCTTCTAACACTGTATCTCTTCTCCATCATCATTAGGCTCCATAAAGCGTTCAGTCAGCTGCCCTCGGTCCATCACTGCTCAATCACTTCTTAGTGGGGACAGCCGCCCCTTTTCTGCTCAACAAATGATAGCAGCACCCCGGCCAACTTCAGGGTCTCGATCACATTCTTTAAACCGTGCTTCCTCCTATCAAAGGTGTCTGCCTCCCACAGATGATGCCAGTTCTGACTCTCAAGCAGTAAGTCATCTATTCCACTCTTTGGAGAATACAGGGTACATTCTAGTAAGGATTTAGGTGGCAAATGAATTAGCTGGGTGGAGGACAGATTGAACCTCAAATCCTTTCTATAATTCAACCTGTGATCTCCTGAGTGGGGTTATAACTTAGTATGGACTCTTATAAGGTAAACATCACTATATTATAGAATTTAAAGGATGGACACTGCAAAGAGCATTTTATTTTCTATTTCAGATAGAGTAGGTAAAGTTTACTTAAAATCACCTGAGAAAATATATTATTTTGCAGTATATTAAGTAGTACATGTGTAAACTTGGAGAAATTTGTTGTATAAACTTTGCCGCATGTGACTACTGATGAATAGGTTAGAAATTGACTTTTAGCAAATTCATTTTAGAACACTTAAATATAATTGTTTATGATGTTTCTGTTTTTTTTTTCTTTTAATTGAGGTGACATGTAGTTTACAACACTATTTATGACTAGGAAGTTTAGGTTCATACCTCTTCAGATGCTATGTTATCACATCATACCTACAACTAAGGAAAATTAATATGTGATATTCCCTCCTTTGCATGAATCCCAGAGATTGCATAGTAAGGAAGTCAGTGAATTTTGTGACCTGTCTACTTGTAGTTGTTCAAATAGAGAGCTCAAAGTATCTTCACACAGAACAAGGATTTATTTAACTAATTGACATAATATAGATATTTCCAAAGGGTAGGATCCAGAAATATCAGTGAATGAATTTTTCTTGGTAACCATAAATGATTTACTTCAGTAAAAAGTAGAAATTAAAAAATATTAATAGCTTTTCCTATTCAGTTCCATTTATGAAACAAAGCCTGTGGACTTAAAATAGAAATCATATTTATGCATATAAAATTTTTAAACAAAGAATTGTCTAAGATATATGTAGCAAAATAAACTGATCAGTCTGTTTTAAATAGTCATATTTTTATTTTGTTACTTTGAGCTAAATAAAATACAACTCTGTGTAGGTGTGAAAGATACTCTTTGGAAATCAGCCATTTAATCCTAAGAATTTAATCTTGAAGATAAATGTAAAAAAAATTACTTTCTTCTTTTTTCATTGCTTTTTTTCCCAATTAAATCTGCTTCATTTTTACCTAGAAATATTTTTCAGATTATAGTGGCACAATGAAATAAGACCCCCCTCCAAATATCTGTATTCTTTCAAATTTAAGAGTGAGTCTTTGCAGCAACTGAGAACAAAAGAACAAGAAGACGATATGACAACTCAGACCTTATTTGTTCTCAAGGACATGAGGATTCGGTTTCCAGGAAAATCAGAGATAGAATCAGAAGTCGTGATAGAAGATGTGAGTATTTGATGTATATAAAGCCCCAGGAACTCATATTTTTTATTCTTTGTCAAACGTTAAAATTTGTTTATGGATGCCATTATTCTCAATGACATGGTAAACTTAATTTATATTCTACTCAACCTCCACAGCTTTAGACAATATCGGTGTTATTTAAATTACTGTGGCTCATGAGCAATGAGATAATGTTCCTAATCAGCCATACAAAATATCTAGTGTATGGTCCTATTTTATTGCTACCACTGCTCATCAAGTGAGAACAATCTGTATTACATAATAATTATTCTTAATGATTATAAAAATAAAAGTGCACCTATAATGAAAAAGAAGGTACATGGAATTAAAAATATTTGAATGTGATACCTTGCTTGGTTTGAGTTAGATTTTGAAATGACTTGTTGTGTTTATTTTTCTTGTTAAAGTTTCTAAAATAGTAAAGAGTTCTAAAATTCATATTAAAATCAATTACTTCTAATTTACAAAGGTCTAATTTTTGAAAATATTTTTGGCAAGAACACTTCTTCATTCAAGATTCTATTTCTTACTCAAGTACCCTTTTCAAATTGTATTTTTCTAGATAATCCTCAATAATAAACATTGGTCTCCCTCTTTTTTTTTTTTTTTTTTTCACACAGGAGAAGGCACCATCTGGTGGCCAATTGTAGGATAAAACCCACAGCCTTGCCTTTGGCCTTTTTCATTTTTCAGCATTACTTTAGTGTAGCGCAATTGACCTAGGGGGAAAAAAAAAGGCAGACAAATAATAATCATAAATATTTTTTCATTTAAAAATCAACAATTTCAATTTATATTTTGTAATTGACATAGTTATAGTCAAAGACCCCAAATATTATACATAGTGTTATCTCTATATTTTAAAGTGAAAACTCTCTCTCTATACATTGTTTGTAAATTTGTTACTTCAGGAGAAAGGAAGATAAGTAAAGCTATGTTTAAAGCATTATTCTGCATTTGTTTTATTTACATATGCTAATTTATTCAATCAAGTTCTTTTTAAAGTAAAGCTAATAACTTTTTTTTTAAAGATTTATTTATTTACTCAAATAGAACTGGGGTACATGCCAGAGTTGTGGAGGGTGAGAGGATTCACCAGAGACAGAGAGGGGAACTGAACAGGCAGATCGATGAAGTACACTGCTGAGGGGAGCAGCGGGCAGGCCAGGAGATGTCTGCCACACAATGTGGTCACCTCCTGGGCAGATGGGAATCGAACTCATGCAGAAGTGGCTTAGGCTTCTTAGTGCTGTGTTTTAACCCGCTGCGCCACCAGGGAGGGCCCCATAAAGCTAATAACTTTTACCAGACATTTTACTTTTATTTCTTAGATGGTTCGGTAGGAAAAAGAAAAAAAAGCTTATCAGAAAATAGAACTAATATTTGTGGCTAATGTGACTTTCCTGAAGAACATAGATAAATTAATATAATTAGTAAAAACTAATCATTCTAGACATTCAGTTTTTTAACTTTATGATCACTCCCTGCAGTAAATATTTAACCTGTCTGCTTCCACATATATGACTACAACATATATCCATTTCTTTTAAATATTTGTTTTATTTACTTATTTACTTATGCATACAAGAAGGTTGTAGGTCAGAGATACAGGGGTTGAGAAGATTCATTGTATAACAGGTGGGCTGACTGAAATATGCTGCTGAGAGGAGCAGTGGGCAAAGCAGGAGAGGTCTGTTGTCCATGTGGGCTAATTCCCCGGTCAGTGATTGAACTCATGCCTCAGTGGCTGAAGATAGCTGGAGAGTATTGAGACTTTAACCCTTGCACCTCCAGGGAGGCCCTCAACATAATTTTTTTATTCAATATTCTCTTATCTGGTAAATGCAACACAGAATTAAAATGGAAAATTGTTTTGGACTTCTTCTCAAGCTTAATAAACTCGAAGACATTTGAATTTTCTTCATGGAAATTGTTTGCTTGGTAAAACAAGGAGCCAGTGCTTTGGATCCTCACCAGTTCTTTACCTTAAGTTAGAGATCTTTCTTTGCATGTGTCTTTTCTTTTAATGCAAGAAATACTTTAATGCTTCCATTTCACAAATGAATTAAATTGATTTAAATTCATTTATTTTTATTTGTTACTTTTGAGGAAAGTTTTTTGAGAGAAATTAAATTTATTAATTTTTCTACCCCAAAACAGATGATTGACAACTGGAAATTTCATAAAGCAAAAGTGGCTTCATATTGGCTTATAAAATTGGACTCTGTAAAACAACGAAAAGTGAGTAATGTCTACTAACAGGTTTGTCCTTTTAGATTACACATTAAGCTACCAGAATTAAGCCAAATTCATAGTCCAACTATGTGTACTTGTTCAATAAACTTCATTTGTTTACTTATTTCTTCAGCAGATATTTATTATGTCTACTAATATATTAAATTATATGCAGTGTTTATAACAACTGTAATAATTCATTTATATTCAAATTATTAAATTTTATATAACATGAAATATCTTAAAATTTATCTACATTATAAAACAGTAAATGAAGATGCAAAAAACAGAAAATCACATTTGTGCAGAAACCTAAATGAAATAATAATGATAGTGTGCAGGTATCTGCAATGTTTCAGACCATGAGGAGTGTGGATACAAAGACTAAGACAGGCTTTTTCTATGCTTCTGAGGCACCACTTTATTTCCTTAATTATAGACCAATTACTTTGTTCTGGTCAACAGTGTATGACATGGTGGCGAGAGATAAGTTTGGATAGATTGGCCATGCTTGGACACAACTTTATAGGACAAGGGAAGATTGGGTTTTACTCTAACATGGGGAGCCCCTGGAAAATTTTGAGCATGAGTGTTAGATGGATTGTTTTATTTATTTATTTATTTGCTTCCTCCTGCATCGACTGGTTTATAATTTATAAGAATTATGAGAGCTGTATGTTCAGAACAGAACTGGTAGGCAGGGGATGTGACAGAATAGAAGTAGACACTAGCCAGAAGGTTTTTAAAGGAATTGAAGTAAGACGTAATGGTTGCTTGATTAAGAAGGCAGTACAAAATTTGTCATGACTTTTCTGACAACCCAGTAGAAGAGAGGAATAAAACAGGAAAGAGAGGTGATAGAAAATCCCAGAGTCACAACCTGGGAAGGGACAGGGAGGAGGAAAGGCCGAGTCTATGGCATTGTGCTGGGAAAATATGAAGGTTTTTCTGAGGTGTTGGGGGGCTTTGGGCATTTCTGTATTAATATCTGTCTTAGTGGGAGGAGAATGTGACCAGAAGCCTGAGATGTCCATCAAGTGCAAGACAACATACATTATTTTTTGGTAGATATACTATTTTAATAGTATTAGTAAAATTGTTGTTTTCCTTCAGTAGTGCAAGCTATCATTTTCTCTTTCTAGTACTTAACTGCTAATAAGTTAAAATTTGATACTGATCAAATGACTTTTAAATTACATACTTTCATCTGAGTAAATGGAACTATTACACAGTAAGTCATTCAACAAGTAACTATTTGGTGGTCTTCCATGGGCAAAATACTCACCTGTTGTTGAGGGGGGTATATAGCAAAATTGGTAATAGAAGTAGATTGCAAAATATACTGTAAGCTGTGAATACGTGTTCACCATGTCGCTGATGGTAGTCTTGATTTAAGGACCTTTTATTGGAATGAGAATTCTGAAGCTCAAGTTCATGTACTTTTTGTAACCTTGATGATAGAGGAGACTAGATGAACTGCTAATTAAAACAAAATATGTAGTCTAGATACAGATGCAATATTTTAAAGATACTTTTACATGATAAATATGATGTTTCAGGTGGATAGAGTAAAGATAATCCTCCTCTTCCCCCCCTAAAATGAAGCAGAAATGATAGACTATTTTGAGAAATTAAGTTGGGGCCTTATCTCTCACCACATACAAAAGTAAATTCTAGAAAGATTAGAGTTTTGTATGCAGAACAGGAAAATATTACAAGTGTAAAAGAACATACAGATGACTATGTTTGTAATTATAGGTTGGGGAAACAAAAAAGACCTAAAACCAGGGAGTCTTACAGGGTAAGATTCACAGATTTGATTATTTATAAAATAGGTAAAATAGGCTTACATCAAGTTAAAAGGCAGACGCAGTGAGATCGGAGCAGAGGATATGTGAGGAAGGGGGACATTTCCAGCACATGTAACACCAGTAACACCGTAAACCAGCACCTCCTATAAATCTGTCAGCAGAAGACAAACTATGCTATAAATATTAGTAAATAAACTTGCAAATTGTACTAAGACTCTATGAAGAGATGATTATGGATCTTCAAATAGCCAATTAACTTGTAAGCAGATACTTGGCTTCTCTAATGATGAAGGTAAAGCAAGTAAAAACCATCACATTGGCAAAAATTATTAGGACCGATAATATCCATTGGTGGAAATAGTAATGGGTAAAAGGGCCTTTACTGTAGTATTAGCAGACCCAGCAAAATCACTTCCAGCATTCTATCTTACAGAATAGTATGGATGTATACAAGATTTGTGTACATGTAAATGCATTACAGTAGCACTTGTGAAAGCAAAACATTTGAAGAAAGATCAATACTGCTTATCAGTAGACTGTAAGATAAATTACAGTACGTCCTTACTATTTAGTTGCATTATTCTGGAGTCATAGATTTTAATCTGAGAGATAGCATAAAATTATGACTCATGACATATGAAACATATATTAGCAAATTAGCCAAACCTTACCAACCATAGGTGAGGGACCCAAACAATTAGTTGCTACCACATACATGGTTTGGGGAGAGCGTGAGCCCATCAGCTCTTCCTTTCAACACACACACATGCATTCTGGGTTCAGAGTGACAAGTACCAGTTGTGTGTGGCTCACTCTGGCACACAGGGAGCCTTGCAGATTTGGGTGACTTCCTTCATTTTACTCGCCATTAGACACCCACGAAGCCTTTGCAACTAATTTTCATCTTTTAGCCAGATGAAATAAAAATACCAGGTCTATTTACTGTGAGTTGACCCATGACCCATGATGGAAATGTTTTCTATCTGTGATGCCCTATAGAGCACTAGAAATACGGTTACTGTGATTGAGGAACCAAACTTTTTATTTAAATTTAAATCCAAATATGTCTGTGACTACTGCATTTGACATTGTGGACAGACCACGTGTAGCCTTCTAAATACTTCTTTGTATTGTAGATAAGAACTTTCTCAGTTATCTTCTGGCTGAAAAATTCCATCAGAGGGTTTGCCAGAATGTCCACTAAGGACTTCACTCATTGCTTTGGAAATCTCCAGGAACTCCTCTGCCAACAAACGTTTTCCTTTCACATCCCATCCTATCAAGATATCAAGATAGCAAATTAAACATACAAGTTATACAATGATATGTACACCAGTTGCAAACCACCTTCATGTGTATACTTTTTAAAAAATATTTATGTAGCATTTAAAAAACTTTAAAATTAGTCACCAAATAAGAACATTTATTTCTGCACCAATAAGGAAATTGATGAAATTTGGTGTCACTTTTCCCTTTGTTGTGTATTTCTATATATTTTTTAAGTTAAAATAATCTTGAAATGGAAGAATGACAGGGAGATAATAGGCATGTCTGTGAGGCCTCTCTAACTTCCCTACAACCAGACAGTATTTTTTCTTATTCTGAATCTGTGTGACACTTTGTACTCAATTGTACTTATGATCTGCCTTGAGAGGTTTATATTTTTTTTCCTCACCTCTCTAAAAGCCAGGGAGAGCATCACATTTTTAGTCATCTGTGGAATGTTTTTTGTCAACATTTGTGAAGTGATTTGAAATGGACTCCTTTATTAACTGTTAACAGCAAGCTGGCTGCCTTCAGTGTCCTTCTTTATGTACTAGCAATAAAAACTGTTTATTTGAACAGCAATATCAAATTAGGACAATGCTGTTTATATATGATCTGTGGTATAAAAAGTTCTGATGAACATTGCTGGAACAATCAAATGATGTGTGTGCATAATAGTAGTATTTGTGAATTGGAAGAAACAATTATTTCATGATTCAAAGTTGTTGTGGTCAATTTGGTTTTTTGAGTAAAAAGAAATGCTTCCTCAAAAAGTAATGCTTGCTTATAAATTTACAAGCAAGTATTTAGGCCAGTTTATCTACTGCTGTATTGGTTTTCTCTAACACTATTTATAGTGAGACATCTTTGTATAAGCCATTACTCCATTTCTCAGATGTGTGAACACATCTTTCAGTTTATTATACACTATTATGTTAAGGGGATGGTAGCACCAATGAGAGGGGGCATGATTTTTTTTAAAGATTTATTTATTTATGCATATAGAACTGGGATACAGGCCAAAGGTGTAAGGGCTGTGAGAGGATTCACCAGAGTGGGGAGCAGAACAGGCAGAAGGATGAACTGCACTGCTGAAGAGAGCAGCGGGTGGGTTAGGAGAGGTCTGCAGTGCCATGTGGGTCACCTCCGGGCTGGGCATCGAACTCATGCTGAAGTGGCTATACCTTCTTAGTGCTGTGCTTTAACCTGCTGGTGCCACCAGGGAGGGCCCAGCAGCAATTTTTTGATGATGACATACAGCACTTTACTACGTGGGTAATTCCATAAGTAATTATTTGAATAATGAGGAGAAATTTTGGGGTAGAACTTTCCAGTTTTGTAAACTTAACCCTACCAAACAATGGATTCTTTAACCCATATTCACATTAAAAAGCCTGATGAATCTGCACATTGTAAGTGCACACCAGTCAGCCTGCATGAAGAGAATGAGCTCTAACATAAACGAAGGTTTTTTAATTGGGGCTTAAAAAAAGTTTGTTCACTTAATCAATAGCATTAGAATTAACTAAGTGAAATATTTAAAATTCACCCCAGCTAGGAATCCATTTTTTTTCTTTATCTCTTCTTTACCTTGTTTATTCCAGATGAAATCAAAGGTAAAGTGGGTCCAGAGAAGGACTGACTGAAATATTATTTTCTTGACAAAAAGTGAACTAGTATATATAAACTGAGAAGTGCATTGAGATTTTTTTTTTAAGTTTTATGTTTTAACTAAATGAAAGAGTCAAAATAGTAGAAAGAAGTGCTGAACTTGGCGACCACATAAATTTGGATTCTGTATTGCCTCTGGTCTTTGCTTGGAGTGGATATCTTCTTAGAACTTCTCTGAGACTTGTAGTTATTGGAGGCTTCTTGTGAGGAGTGAGATATCACATAAGGGCTCTAGCCTCAGAAGGTATAAAACAGACT